ACAGAACAACGGCACTCTACTATATTCCAAACCTAGACTATTGACGCGAGGAGTCCCGCAGGGATCAATTCTGGGTCCCCTCTTATTCATTCTGTATAGTGCTGACATTGCTAGATACTGTGAAGGATGTTTATATCACCAATATGCGGATGACTTACAAGTTTACATGTCTATAAATCCTCAAGATACAAACATGGCGGTTAGAATATTGAACTCAACACTTTTCCGTATATCGAACTGGTGTAATAAAAATTCTCTTGTTTTGAATCCGGCTAAGTCGAAATTCATGATATTGGGTTCTAAATTGCAGGTACAAAAAATTAAAAATCAAACACCAGTTATAACAGTAGAAGGTACACCTCTGTTGCAAGTAACTGAAACGCGCAATCTGGGTCTACTAATGGAATCTGGTCTTAAATTCGAAAACCATGTCCTAGATTGTGTGGGGAATTGCTTCTACAGACTAAAGATATTATACAAAATTCGAAATTATCTTTCAACTGATCTACGTGTTCGACTGTGCGATTCTCTGATATTGTCCAAGCTGAGTTACGGTTTAGCTGTTTTCGGTTCATGTACACTAGCTAGATCACGGCGGCTTATCCAACGTGTACAAAATGCATGCGCCCGTTTTTGCTTCCGTATACCACCGCGTAGTCATGTCTCTCCTTATCTCAATAATGCTAAACTACTAAATATGTCTTCACGTTACAACCTTTATTTTGCGACTTTGTTGTTTGATGTCATTGAATCCAAAATGCCTGATTACCTTTATAGAAAACTTGTGTGGTCTGGCAATCAGCATGCTTTTAAAACCAGGGCTTCGTTGTATCGACTAGTGACTCCAGCACATCGGACTACTGCCTTCAGAGGCAGTTTCAGATATATGGCCTCCAAGTGTTGGAATAACTTACCTCCTCCTATTCGTAATATAAAAACTAAAGTGAATTTTAAAAACCTTTTAAAAAAACACTTATTGTCTGAACAACTGACTTTAAATAGGAGGTCCTTTATCTGAGGAGTCTTTTTTTCAACGACCGAAGTCGGTAAGCATGGTCAGGAACAATAATGTCTGACTCACGGCGCGTTTAGCCAGCGACCTTGTATATGCAACAACTATTATTTATGTACGTAGTATGTATCTATAGGTTAACAATATATGTATACATAACACACCACTTCATTTTTAATCTATTTGTATATTGTATAATGTTTTGTAATAGTATAATTTTTTAAGAGCTCGAAGTGTAATATATAAACATTCACGTATATATGTATGTAAGTATGTATTTAATTATAGGAGCCAACAGAATATCAGCGCTGCAGACTTATCTGTAGCTTCATGCTGAGTTGGTTGCCTCTTCATCATTGCGACACATAAAGCCACCTCCATTTTTATTTTATTTTGTAATATTATATTTCTGTATTATTTAATCTGTAAACTTTATTTCTATTTATAAAATGTATCTCATGTATGCTATGTGTTTGTAATGGTTGAATAAAGAACTTATCTATCTATCTATCTAAATTCGTGTCGGAGTTTGATAACAAACACCGTGACACGAGAAATTTCTATATTAGATGACACTACGACATCACGTCATCATGTTTTGCCCGTCTCGTTATCCTGTAATATCACTCATCATTCAAAACACAGCTTAGAACGCAAACTGCTTAGTTTACCGTCAGCTGTTTGACATTCCAAATAGGTACGTAAAAAAATTTTGGTAACATGTATTTTGGTAATAGTTACCCGATGATTATAAAATAGAAAATTTCCTTTTTAAAAATGAAGTCAAAACAAATATATATTCTTCTATCTTTATGTAAGTTGATATGCATCTATTTTTTTAATGGATGATAATGTATGTTTCCGTCTGCGCTAACTATGTCATATAATGAAGATGAGGTCAGGTCAGTTAGCCCATCGTGACAAATTTACCACGAATATATCACGATGATTTTCAGGAACAACCGCCTGGAGATCAACCTGACATGGTACTTGCTAGCAATAAGGACAACAGTCCATATTACCACAGATAACATAATTTACTAACAATCCCCATATGCATCTATTCTACCAAAGACAATATTAATGGCCGGTTATTTATTAATACAAATTAAGAATCCAATATTATTCGTGTTATGGCGAGTAAAAAAACATCATTATATATAAATGCCCATTCTCCAAACAAGAATTTCATCAGATACTTTTTGCTGGACCGCAATTTTCGGAACGCGCCACCATCATTTCGAATCGTTCGCGCGGGAAAAACTATAAAATGGCGGACTACCGTCTGATGCAAATTGCGCGCGGAAAAACTTTGGGACGAGTAAAAAGCTAAAGGAACTCATAGTATTTCATCGACGTCGCCAGTTATTGAGCGGGGTGAAGGTTTTTGCGTGGATTCCCGCGTTCGAGTCACGGCGACTTTTTGCTAAGCTCTCACAGTCTGGGAAGCGCGCCGCTTCTCGCTTGCAAAAAGCGGAGAGGGCCGCCACAACGATGGTAGGCGAGGCAAAAACATTGCGACATACGGATAGAATTAATGCGGCGACTCTTTAATTTTCTTCAAGAAAGCGCGGGAGGAAATGGCGTAATGAGTGTTGCCAGACGCAAAAACTATCTGTATAATGGCGTTGCTCTTTTATCCGGTTTAATTTTGTTTTCATATTGATTGACGGTAAATATTATTAATGTAACCACTATATGCAGTATTATTAAGGATAATGAGCGTACGTCCAAAATATCCATGTGTTCAAATAAGATTGGAATTAGTCTTATTAGGAATAATTTCCAATAAACCTATATTAATTAATATTTAATCTTACTACCTAATGTATGTCTTATAGGTTCTTGTCCTATTACGTAGTCTCACGAAATAATTTAGATCGATATAGGTGTTTACATCACAGAAAATTTAGAAATAATCGAATCTTAAAAAAATATGATGGTCAAATTCTATTGTATGACTATGGGTCCTAAAACCATTAAGATCAAAAGCCTATGTAGTCTTACTAGTTAATAAAAATACTATTCATTTGCGCACATAACAATTATTATTGTCTTAAAAAAAAATTCGGATGAAATAGGTAATACTAAGGTACCCTGCAGCACTATATGAAGTCATGGCTGTATGAGCGCAGTTCTCCTTGCCGATAAAGAGAACAAAAAAAAAGGTACCCTGCATATAACTTTTTGCAATTTATCCCTTGCAAATAGGCGAGTAAGTCCAAATAAGTGTTTAATATAATCTTTGAATTATTTGTACCAGTAAATATATATCCATTTGTCAAATAACTGTCGTTTAAACTGAATGCACCTACCAGTTAATATCAATTCACAATTATGCATTCGAAACACATTGGCCTCCTTTTACTGTCGGCCGGGTCGTGTAAAAAAATAATGATGTAGAAATTGCACGTCCTAGACGCTGTACAATGCACGAGTTACTATTTTATGACTATACGGGTTACCAACAACTTTTTTTTTCCTAGTAATAATAAACTCAGGACAATTTACACAACGCCATCTAGTACTAAGCTAGGTAGAGCTTCTGTTATAGGTGCTAGACAACTGATATAAATATATAGATATATTTTTTGCAATTACATATATAATATACATACCCAGACCGATGCAATCATACTCTTGAATACAAATGTTTGTACCGTACGAGGAATGGAACTCGCGACCGTCGGAAGTAAAGCGGTATGCTAAACCGCTCGTCCAACGAGGCCGTCTTATCAAATATCTAAGACTAGATTTTCCTCGCGACTGTTCTCGCCTAGCTACTACCTACTCGCCCAGTACTAGCAAGAGCAATTGTCACGGGCCCCCAGCATTTACTTATGTCTTAATATAATAAATACAATAGAAAAATAATAATAATAATCTTTATATAAAAAAGTTACGTATCACGTCATTTGTCCGCGATGGACTCCTAAACTACTGAACCGATTGCAAATTTGATTTGCACATTGTGTGCAATTTGATCCAACTTGAAAGATATGATAGCGTACATCTCAATTTATAGTCGCCATATTATTTAACTTTAGCCACATCAACGAGTGGCCGGGTCTACTATAAAATTTTTAATCTTATGTTTTTTGTATAAAGTCAAACCACACACACTTGTGTTTATTTAAAACTCAAATTTAAAAACCGAAACGAACCGCACTATGTCCGCGTGACAATGATTCGCTGCACAGATAACATTATATTACATACTAGCTTTTGTCCGCGGCTTCGTTCGCATACCACTAGTATATAAATATACATATGACTAATATATACATATATATATATATATATATACTAGCAGACACGGCCACGCTTTGCTGTGGTTAACAGTTCTTTATATATAAAAATAATATTGCGACTATAAATTGAGATGTAAGCTATCCTATCTTTCAAGTTGGATCAAATCAAATTGCACACAGTGTGAAATCAGATTTCCGATCGGTTCAGTAGTTTAGGAGTCCATCACGGACAAACAAGGTGACATGTAATTTTAATATATAAAAATTAATCAGTATAAATAAGGCTTGCTTACCAATTTGCGATAGTAAGCAGTAATCATCGCCTACACTAACAGCACAACGATATCACGTTATCATGTTACCGTGATACTGATTCGTAGCCGTTCCAGAGTACTAAGATATCATGCCTCTTTTCCTATAAATTTACTGTCATATCTCTAATCGACACAGCTTCCAAAACGAGCTGCTTGACTTAGAATAAGTGAGGATGTTTTTACGGACACATTCAGTTATGGGAGTGTTTGGAGAAACATGAAGCGTCTGGGAATTGGACCAGCTCCCCGAAGCACTGGCTTACTGCGTAGAAAGGGATTATCCACGATAATCCACGCAGCCGACTTTTAATACCCGGATAAATAATCTACCTTGTATAAAATAACATACTAGTGATAAACAACAAAAGGTAAATAAAAAGATTAATTTATTGAATATAAATTGTTATTATATATTTTCAACACACTTGCTCGTAAAGTGGATCTAATTTGATCGCATTTCATATATAGAACAACTCATAAAACACTCGTGCGTTATAAACACGAATAGTGAAGTTATATTCCATAACAGCACTATTTGTTATTTTTCATCGAAATTCAAAATGACCTCCGCGCGGTGCCAGCCAGTAGGCAGCGCGCTGATTTAAAAAAGTAAAATGGCGGGAAATGTGTAAATATTTTAATAATTGAACTTGGCAAAATCACCGACCTCATTTGGTGGAAGCCATTTAAATTAAAAGAAGAAGAATAAATGTACTATTCAGTTATTTAAAATGAACAAAATAAAAGTAAAACGGCGCGAAATATGTATTCTTTTAAAAATAGTACTATTCAATAATTAAAAATGAACAAAATATAATATCTAGATTTTTTATTCTGTTTCCTCGCAAGTGTGTTGAAAAGCGTCATATGATATACGTGCGTATTTAACACACTCGGCTCTATTACGCACTCGTGCCGCCTCGTGTGTTGTAACCATCATAACACACTTATATCGCAATATACAATTATTACATTAATTTATTAAAATATCCATTTCATAAATTATTCACAGTGCCTTCTTTGCAATACCAAAGTATAACACATATGCAGAAGATTTTAGATGCTAAAACTACATAGGGTGGTTTCAATTCACTAATTAATATCCTATATGTACCCTTCAACCTACAAATCGTTACTGTATCTATATTTTGTATTGACAGTTTTTGCGTTTGCTTTATCAACAGTCCTGGAATTTGGCACTTTCCTTTAAAAAAACTAGCAATATTGACTCCACAGTTAGTTCCGTCTGTGATAACTGTAGCAGATGCTTTTTTCTGTCCAAATACATCTGGCATGTACATATTTATAAGATATTCACTGGGCCAGATCTCAAACAACTGCCATATATCAGTTACGAAATTTATCCAAGTCACTAATATTTTAGACACTTCAGTTTTACTAACACCAAATAATTTACCGATTTCAACGTCCGATTTACTTCTCTTCAGCTTAATGAGTAGCATTAGAAATTGATCTTCAACTGATAGACCGAAATCTGTACTCCATCTCTGTTCAATGTTGTTAGCCATTGGTAATAGAGTGGATAGGACGAGAGTAAATTTGGGATATGAACCGAGTCCTGTGTAAAAGTTAACCAATTCATTATCAGACAATACAAGATCTGTAGACAGTAATCTAACACAGTTTGTGGTTTGTGTACCTTGTGTAACAAGTTTTTTTTCTGGTGTATCAGTTTTGTTCAATGTATTTTGAGGCACAGGACTTTCAGGTTTAATAATACAAAGTTTATTAATAGGTTCCGAAGCTGACAGTGTTTCATTCAATTTTTGAGGTGTTTTAACTGATATTAGAGGTCTTTTGTCCAATATTTCAGGTGTTTTATCCAAATTATCAGGTGTTTTATTCAATTTTGCAGGTGTTTTATCCAAGTTTTCAGGAGTTTTATTCAAACTTTCTGGTGTTTTATCTAAAATTTGAGGTGTTTGGTCTGATATTTTAAGTTTTTTATCCAATAGTTGAGGTGATTCATCCACTTTTGCTGCTGCTGGTTCTTTATTAGCTATGTTTTTTCTACGTTTCCGAGTTTGTATTCGGTTTTCTCTGCTCTGTGCCGTATTTGAAGTAGTCTTACTGTTCCATGGGAAAACTGATGGTACAGCCACCTTGTTTAGGCGTTTTCTGAACATGTACTCCATGCCTAGAAGTTGAAAAGACAATTTTGGTCAATAGACGCAATACAATTAAGTTTCAGTATACACAGAGCTTCATTTGCCTTCATCTATATAATAGTAAAAAAAATTGTCATGATCACTTATTCCGGGTTCCACTGAAAATCAGGATTTGTGGTTTTAGTCATAGCACAATGTTGAGATGGGTCCCTGACAAACACATCAATTCACAGTGACGAGATGATGAAGCTCAAGCTCACAGTGGAGGATAGAATAGATAATACCAACAACTAGGTGGGACTAGTGCTGCGGCCAACCATGACGGATGACTCCCACACAAACTTACTATTCTAAATTTACCTAATATTAATTACACCAATTGTCATTTACTAGTATTCAAACAAATTATATATCATACATTATAGTGGAGATTAGTGTTGGAGAATTATTGTAAGATAAAATAAGAAACGAAGAAGTGCTGCAAAAGGTTAAAGAAAGGAAACAGATCATAAATATTATTGGGCATAGGCGGTGAAACATGTTGGGACATTTAAAAACATTTAATAAGACACAACGAATTTACTGTACAATATTATCATTATCACAAGGAAAAAAAGAACGAAAGAGGATAAGGGGTAGACCAAGACAGCTATATTAAGCAGATTAAGGAAAAAGCTAGAGTCGTGTCGTATCAACAACTAGAGACAGTATATGAAATGAATATAAATAGCTAAATTACCTGTATAGTAACTAGTTTTCAAATAGTCGCTTTCCAGAAAATGATTCCGACATATCCTTGTTGATTTAGTTGGAACATAATTAATACGACGTATAGCTTTTAACCATTGTGTTCTCAATTTGGTGTCCCTAGGAAAGACATGGTATGCCACTTCCGAACATCCTTGAACACAGCAAATAGTCATAATTTCAAATTTATTACAACCGAAAATGAACTAACGTTAGATAAACAAATATTTGGAAGAAGCCGAGAACAAGAATTGATAAAAAACATATCGTCTGATATTGACAGTTTGACAGTCACTGTACTGACAATGACAATTGACAAACAGAGCAGCTTCTAACTAATAGAGAAATTTGTAATTCTCTATTCCAATTGTTTGTATAATGTGATCTGTATCATAATGTAGTTTTCTTATTTAATGTACAATAGGGAAAAAATATTAATTCAATACACTTGACGGTTTAAAGCGGCTAAAATGTTTTACATGCATTTTTTTATTTTAATGATAAATATTATTTTATTGTATTATTGACTTATTAATTATAAATATGCAATAAAACTTTTTCGTATTAGCTTTAGCACATAAGTAACAAAATGTAATACAAAATATTCCAGAAATGCTAATAGCATTATTTTTATTACTCATACTTATATTCTTGAAAATTGTTGTTTGATTAATTTTTAATATTATAACGTTTCATTAACAACGACGTATTCTGATGGTACACTTTTCGTAATGTCCTTAGTTTTTTTAGAATGTGTAGCCCTCTTTATTGAATGTCAGTGTTGACAATCATACTGATCAAATGTCTATTGTCATTTCTATTTTTAGTAGGCAACATTAACCGAATCACAAAATTCAAATTGTTTGAAGTCCAACGCTCATGCAACGCTTTTTTTATGTGAATCTTTTACAATACTGACGAATAATATTTTTCTGTATTATTGAATATAATTATACTTCATTTGTGGTGTTAGATTTATTTGTGTTATATTGTTTATGTGTATCGTGACAAGATGACGACGGAAAAAGTTTGTAGAAAGGACAAAAATCAAAACATACAAGTATTCGTTCGACTAAGGTAAATGACGCTCAATTTTTTTATCAGCTCTCATAATTATAGTATTTTGTGACTAGACTAGATACTTTTTAAAGGTGTTTTATTTAAAAATGCAATTTATAATATTAATATTATAACAAGAAAGTTATTATACATATATATTTGATATTGCAACCAGCGTACTAGATTTTCTGTTAGAGCTATTTCTTTGAATTATAATCTTTTCAAAATAACAGTAATAACTATGTAATGTCTTAGAAAATTACTTTTTAATACTTATATGTTAAAATTATGTTATTGAGTCATCTAATCGTTTAATACTAAATCTAACTACTCAATTCTTTAATTCCATCATATTTGAAAAAGAGTTTTTAGGTCAGCAGACAAATAAAGATGAATTTTCTTTCATAAATACGTTTTATATTATAAAATAGGCAATATCTTACAATTTCTTCATATTAAAACAACATGAAGGATAGTATAAAGAATATTAATAATATTATAAACCTGAAAGTCTGTAATTATGGATGTTTGTTACTCTTCCATACAAAAACTACTGAACAGATTTTGATGAAAGTTTACAGTAATATAGCTTATGCATCAGAATAATACCTAAGTTATATTTTTATTAAAATTTAACATGATTGAAACCACAGTAACAGTTAGTTTAAGATAAAGCTGATTTTAATCAAATTAAATCAAAGGATCTATTACAAACATACATCCCTCTTAACTAACAAGAACAAGAACATAACAAAAACAAAAATAAAAACAAAACCCCCAATAAAAAAAAACTTCTGTTACACTTTGCTAATGAGGATGGTAAGCATGAAGTCAGGTTAGTTAGTAGTTAGCCAGGAGTTAATTACCATGAATTCATCAGGGAAGATTAACATTTTTCATTTAAAAAAAAGCTTACACTAATGGTTCATGGTGGCAGGGTGTCAATGAGGGATGATAGTATGAGCATGAGGTCAGATTTGGCTCATCGTGATATCATAATGATTTGAATAATCCAGGGGAACCTGATGTAGGTAAACCAGATGTTGTACATTGCAAACTAGTAGAATGTCTGGTAGTAATTAATTGACAATACCTTTCCCCCAAATAGTATTATTTATTGTGGGAATACTAATGACTGAATGATGATTACAGGCCTCTCAACCAACGAGAGAGGGATATCAAGTCGCTGGGTGTGGTCGAAGTGGTGAACAATCGTGAAGTGGTGGTGAAACAGTCTCAGCAAACCTCACTCACTAAGAAGTTCACATTTGATCGTGCATTTGGACCACATGCTAAGCAGGTGCTTACATTTTTTAAAGTATCTACATTCTTTTAAAGGGTTTCCAGAATCTTGTACTTTTTTTACAATAAGATATTTTTTTTTACAATAAGATACCAAAGGATATATTGGAATTACCCTTAAATAAATTCAAAACATCTGTTAAATCATATTTACTGAGCAAGGCCTATTACTCACTAAACGATTACTTGAATGACGAGCGTGCATGGCAATAGTTTTCATGTTCGGGATTTTCATTTAATGTTAGACATAGACACCTATATAAATACCTATGCATTGTAAAAAACTGGATTTAAAAAAAAAAGTAATTCAATTGAGTTTCTTGCCAGTTCTTCTCAATTGGATCTATATACCGAACTGGACGGTAGGGAAAAAACATTCTAATGTAATTCTAAAAACTTGACGTTCATAAGCGGCTAAAATGTCCTACATGAATAAATGATTTTTGAATTTGAATTTGAATTTCAATTTATTTGTATGATAATGAAATGATGCAGCTGCCCATGCTAATCATTTACGCTGAGAGGACACCAGTGGAGGATGATAATATGAGCATATGAGGTCAGGTCAGCTAGCCCATCATGACAAATTCACCAGTAATTCATTACAATGGTTTCCAGGGGAAAGCGCATGGAGGTCAATCTGACATAGTACCTTGCTAGCAATGGGATCAGTGGGATCAGGAACAGTCCACATTACTGACTTTCCCCTTTCTCCCAGCATCTTGTACTATACTATAACTGTTACAATTATTTATTTATATTACTTCCACGAACTTTGTTGTTTAGGGGCCATTCTAAACAAAGTCTTTATCTTCTTCTTCTGCTTCTTCCTTATCCCATTTATTTGGAGTCGGCGTAATATGTTTTTCGTTTCCATTCATCCCTGTTCGCAGTCATCGCGTTATTTACTTCCTTTCTTACCATATCATCTTTCACACAGTCCATCCATCTCTTTTTCGGCCTTCCTCTGCCCTTATAACAACAAAGTCTTTATCATTGCAAAAGAAATCATTCAAAGCAGTCCACTATTTTGTGTTTTACAAATTTTAATGGCCTCTGAATTTTTTTTAAGGCATACGTATTTTCTTATTTTTCCATCTGTCATGGTTTTCAGGGGGAACCGCGTGGAGGTCAACCTGACATAGTACATTGCTAGCAATGGGGTTATTAACCTGCATTACTAACAATGCACAATAGATCTATACAGGTCGCAGTGTTACAGGTCCTTAGCACCTGACAATAGCCCAAACGCCCAGTAAAAAAAAACTGTCACATTCTCCCCGCTATATAACTTTGATTGCTGTGATTTCCAGGTGGAAATATATCAGGATGTAGTGAGTCCACTTATAGAAGAGGTGCTAGCGGGTTACAACTGTACCGTGTTTGCCTATGGGCAGACAGGTACTGGCAAGACACATACCATGGTCGGGGAGAGCACAGGAGACGAGACCAATTGGCAGAGTGTGAGTATAGAAGTAGAAATAGTAATAAATTAAATATTAACAAAAGAAGAGAAATTATATTAACACTTTTGAATAGTCATTTTTTTTGTTCTATCCCTTATTCAGAGTGCAGATTCATCACAAGAACGAGAAATGAACTTGCGTGTTGCTCTCTTAAATAAATGTCATAAGGAAATACATCTTAATAAGGAGGAGGCATGTGGCAGTCAACATAAAAACAACTACCACTATATGTAAATTTAATCAGACTTCATAGAGAATAATAAAAAATATATTTATTCATAAAGAATTAAGTAACAAAATAACACCAAGTTTTTTTTTGTTGTATGGAATAGTTTAAAAAAAAATTCTTTAACTCACTATGCCACACCCAACAAATGACAAAAGTGAAATTGTTGAAAAAATTGTTTATTTTTCTCTTATCCAATCTGTACAGGAACTATAAGCAGATCTTTTGAGTGTGGGAATAACAGTGTCCTCCACAGCGAGACGATCTGCTGCCTAAGATTTCTACGAAATGTTACATAATTTCACTTCCTTTTTAGGCCCTTTAATTAAAAATGAAATTTTTATTTTTAGTAAACCAGTTAGTTTTATTTTAATACTAGCAGACCCGGCCACACGTTGCTGTGGCTAAGGTTCTTGAATAAAATAATATTATAAATGTAAAGCTATCCTATCTTTCAAGATGAAATTGCACTCAATGTTCAAATCAAATTTGCAATCAGTTCAGTAGTTTATCTTAAACTACTCAACCGATTGCAAATTTGATGGCGGACAAACAACGTGACACGTAATTTTCATATATATAGATTGTGACACATAATTTTTATATATAACTAGTTACTCGCCCCGGCTTCGCACGGGTGTATATATAAACTTTCCTCTTGAATCATTCTGTCTATTAAAAAAAACCGTTGCGTAAGTTTAAAGATTTAAGCATACACACGGACGGACAGACAGCGACAGGGACTTTGTTTTATACTATGTAATGAAGATATTGTTTCCTCCCACAGGATCCTCTGGCTGGTATCATACCTCGGGCACTCAGCCAATTGTTTGACGAGCTCCGTATATCAAATACGGAGTATACAGTCCGCGTGTCCTACCTCGAACTTTACAATGAGGAGCTGTTTGATCTGCTCTCCTCATCTGAAGACAACTCCAAGCTTAGGATCTACGAGGATGTCACCAGAAAGGGATCCAATATAGTTAATGGCTTAGAAGAGATTACTGTAAGTTTTCTTCTTTCTTTCCTGAATCTTTTATTGTAATAATATATTAATATTATTACATTAATACAATAACGCAGGACAATTCTCACAGCGCCATCTAGACCCAAATTAATCTACCTAAAGCTTGTGTTATGAGTAGATAACTCACACAAATATATAGATATATATTAATATATATTATACATAGAAAACATCCGGATCGATACAAATCACACTCATGAATACAAATGTTTGTGCCGTGCGAAGAATCGAACCCGCGACCATCGGAAGTAAATGGTGTAAGAGTTACACTTAAAATTTTAAAGTTACGTTTATGATTGTTAATTTTCATATATATTAATACTAATTATTACAATTCTTTATCAGGTATATAATAAGAATGAAGTATACAAGATTATGGCTCAAGGGCAGGAAAGAAAGAAGGTTGCCTCCACACTAATGAACGCTCAATCAAGGTATGTAATAATTTTATATTTAAGACTTTAATAAAGGTATTTGAAGATAGACTTACGCACGGCAAGTGGATGTATCAATGAGATATTTATTTTATATATGATTTATCTTTTACGTTCTTCCTCTGCCCTTATAACCATACACATTCATATGTAACACCTTCCTTAACCATTATATAATATTATAAAAAATAAATAATAGATGGATTTTAAGACTGTATATTTGCATCCGAGCTGTCTACATATAACATTACAAATTATAAATGATATGCTACTCGCCCCCAGCTTCGCACGGGTGTACATGTATTATATATATAAACCTTCCTCTTGAATCACTCTAACTACTAAAAAAAACAGCTTCAAAATCCGTTACGTAGTTTTAAAGATTTGAATACATAGGGATGGACAGACAGCGATAGTGACTTTGTTTTATACTATGTACTGATACAATATAATGTTACATTTATCCTTAACATATAAGGTGAAAAAGCTGCTCCTTAAATAGGAAAAATCCTGAACTTTAGGATAAGAAGTGCTCATTCCCTACAACACTACAGTGACAGAAAATCTTATATATAAAATTCTCGTGTCACAGTTTTCGTTCCCATACTCCTCTGAAACGGCTTGACCGATTCTCATGAAACTTTGTGAGCGTATTGAGTAGGTCTGAGAATCGGCTAACATCTATTTTTCATCCCCCTAAATTTTAGGGGTAGTCCACCCCTAAATTATTTTTTTATTTTTTTAGACAAAAGTTTTAGTTTCTATTTCCTAAATTTTCACCCTTCTATCATCAACTCCTATTATTTTATAGCGTTATTAATTTATAGGCAAAACAACGTTTGCCGGGACAGCTAGTATAGTATATATTGTTGACCCGTACTAATTAATTTTACACTAAATTTGATATTTATACTATTTATATTATAATAACTAGCGGACCCCGCAAACATTGTTTTGCTATATAAATTAAAATCGCTTTTAAAAAATAGGGATTGATGCTAGAAGGGTGAAAATTGAGGGTTGTATGTATTTTTCAATCCTAAATAATAATAAAATGAAAATTAAAAGAATATAGTTAGGGGTGGATATCCCTTACCACTTAGGGGTATGTATGAAAAATAGATAATAGCTGATTCTCAGACCTATTGAATATGCATATAAAATTTCATAAAAATCGGTCAAGACATTTCGCAAGAGTATGGTAACTAACATTGCGACACGAGAATTTTATATATAACATAATAATAATAATTATATTATATATTTATACTTTCAGTCGCTCGCACACAGTCTTCACCATCGTAGTTCACATGAAGGAGAACAGCCCTGAAGGTGAGGAGTTGGTGAAAATCGGTAAACTCAACCTGGTGGACTTAGCTGGCTCTGAGAACATCAGCAAAGCGGGCTCAGACAACCCCGCCAAGAAGGAGAGGGCCCGGGAGTGCGTGAACATCAACCAGTCTCTGCTCACTCTCGGCAGGGTCATCACGGCACTTGTGGAACGTCATCCGCATATACCGTACAGGTGAGGATTGATTTCCAATTTCTTAATGTCTTTCTAGGAATCACACTAGATTATAAAACACAATGGGGTGCACAAATTCAAAGCCTTGCAGCGAAACTGAGTTCAGCAGCTTTTGCCGTGCGTAAGGTTAGACAGTACACCGATACTGCTAGATTGGTCTATTTTAGTTATTTTCATAGTTTACTCTCTTATGGAATATTATTATGGGGAAAAGCGGCAGATATTAAAAATATATTCATATTACAAAAACGTGCAATTCGAGCGCTCTGCTGTATGAAGAGTCGTGACTCATTAAGAGAGATATTCAAAGAGGCATATTCTCACCGTTGCTTCTCAATTTATATATTCAAATATCCTATATATTCATAAAAATCTTGACTTATTTCCAAAAAACAGCAATATTCATAATATTAATACTAGATTTAAAGACAAACTTGCTGTCCCCAAGTATCGTTTAGAAAAAGTTAATAAGTGATTATTATATGGGAATAGGTATAAAAATTTACAATAAGATACCAAAGGATATATTGGAATTACCCTTAAATAAATTCAAAACATCTGTTGAATCATATTTACTGAGCAAAGCCTATTACTCACTAAACGATTACTTGAATGACGAGCGTGCTTGGCAATTGTTCATGCACTGAATTTTCATTTAATGTTAGACATAGACACCTATATAAATATACATTGTAAAGAAACTGGCTTTAAAAAAAAAAGTAATTCAATTGAGTTTCTTGCCAGTTCTTCTCAATTGGATCTGTATACCGAACTGGACGGTATGTAAAAAAAATAAAATTATAATGTAAAAATTTGACGTTCATAAGCGGCTAAAATGTCCTACATGAATAAATGATTTTTGAATTTGAATTTGAATGAATCGACTGGTCTGCTCTAGTCACTGTAACTAATTCAGGCCCAGTTTCACCAAGGAAATTAATGAAGTTTAGTTCGAACTAAACTCAGTTAAAATGAGTTTAAAGCTTCATTTCATTGCATTTCACGCTATAATCTTAAACTTAGTTTTCGCTAAATGAGATCAACGTCGATCTTTCAACTAGTTTATGCTGAACTCGGTTTCCTTGAACTAGTTTATACTGAGAATAGTGAAGTCCAGACTTAATCTTATTGAGTTGCTTAACTACTAAAAATATACAGTACAGTATCTTACCCCGCGTAACCCATCTGTGATAATCACTCCTTAATATTTTTTTTAGAGAATCCAAACTTACGCGCATTCTCCAAGAGTCATTAGGGGGTCGTACTAAAACCTCGATAATTGCAACCATATCCCCTGGACATAAGGACCTGGAAGAGACCATGAGTACTCTTGAATATGCTCACCGAGCAAAGAACATACAGAACAAGCCGGAAATTAACCAGAAAATGACGAAGAAGGCTATATTGAAGGAGTATGCTGAGGAGATTGATAGATTGAAGCGGGATCTTCAAGCAGCTAGAGATAAGAGTGGTAATTATTGTGGTATTTAAATTTTTTTTATGTAAGTGAAATGGGAAACAAGCTGATGATTCTGCTGTGAATGTATAATTAGCTGTCCCGGCAATCATTTTGCCATATAAATTAAAGTCGCTTACCATATAAGTTATTATCGCAAGATAAGAGCTTATTCCTTCTTAAAAGGCTGTCAACTTGCATTTCCCATGGTGTTGCGGGTGCTCATGGGCGGGGGTAATCACTTACCATCAGGTTTGCCGCAAACTCGTTGTCCCCAATGCTATAAAAAACAAAAAAAATTGTTTAATAAATTTTTGTCCGTCTGTTTCTACTTGTTAATCTCTGAAACGGTTGGACCGATTTTGATGGGACTTTGACTCCTAGATACTTAATGTTATAAGGAGTAACTGAGACTACTATTAATTATTTTAGAATATATATTTATATTTTCATAAACAGTTAAATTGCATCATATCCATATGCGTAATTTTTGTTTCATATGTTCCCTAGGTGTTTATCTAGCTAACGAGACATTCGCCGAAATGACACTCAAGCAGGAAGAACAAAAAAAAGAGATTCAGGAACTGCTCCTGAAAAAGAAGGCGATGGAGGACGAGAGAGACCGCATGGTGACCGTGTTTGCAGACCTCAACCAGCAGTTGAAAGAACGAGACAATGAGCTCAGTGACACCAGAAGCAAGCTGGATGATACCCAAGTTAAACTGGCCAATACTAGCAACGTAAGTAGTATATGTTATCTTAGTTTATCCCTCAGACGGTCTCGGCAGTTTAGCGGTTTAGCACATCGCTTTACTTTCTGATGGTCGTGGGTTCGATTTGTTATTGTGTTTTTCGGCAAAGATTTGTGTTTTTTCCGCCAACGTATACCGTTAGCGGAGGCAGGTTCATCATTCAATTACATCCATTAAAAAAAGGTGTTTTTTAAGTATGTGTTTTAATGTATGTATTTACAAAAAATATATCATAAGTATTTATATCAGTTGTTTAGTATCCATAACACAAAATCTATTTACCGTGGGACTATAAAGCGCTGTGTTAATTGTCCAGGTTTATTCATTTATTTATTATTCATCCCTATAATAATTATAATACCTCAGAACTATTCACACAGCGTCATCTAGTCCCAAACTACGCACAGCTTGTGTTATCGATACTACATAACTGATATAAATTGCATACAAAGCGGCAGATATTATTTTCACTTAAATCAAAAAATATATATGTATACATAGAAAACCCAGACTCATACAAATAATCATATTTATGAATACAAATGTTTGTCTCGTGTGAGGGATCGAATTCGCGACCATTGGAGATAAGCTGGCGTGCTAAATCGCTAGAACTCGATGACGTAATTTCTTTGTTTCTGAAGTCGCATATATAATAATAATAATAATAATAATCTCAGGACAATTCACACAGCGCCATCTAGACCCAAGTTAATCTAGCTAAAGCTTGTGTTATCGGTACTAGATAACTAATACAAATACATAGATTCTTTTTTGTAAATACATACATATTATACATAGAAAACACCCAAACCGATACAAACAACCATACTCATGAATACAAATGTTTGCCGTGCGAGGAATCGAACCCGCGACCATCGGTCGTAAAGCGGTGTGCTAGATCGCTAGACCACCGAGGTCGTCTGATATTTCACTTCCTCGTTTTATTTTAAAAGGTACTCATTAGCAAGGGTTTTTCAGTCTACATTGCTAACAGTCCTCTTTCCCACTCAACTATACTGTTAATAATTGACAGATGCTAGCAACAACCCGGGAACAAGTAGAAGAACAGCGGCACCTAGTAGACGTTCAAGTGGTGACGGAGCGCGAGCTAGGCGGACAAGCCAGGGCTCTGCTGGCGGCTGCGGACACTGCCGCAGCGCACGCGGCTGCGCTCAGGGACTGTGTGTCCCGGCGGAGCGCCCGGGACTCCGCCAACGTGTCCGCAGCCGCCGCGCTCCGAGGGTACTCCGCCGACGTCCGCCGACACATCGCTGACCGCGCAGCGACGACAGCCGAGCGACTTCAACATGCTCACCGTCAGCTACATCACGCTGCAGGTGAGCTGCTTTCACGCTGCATAATATACTCAATTTATTTAACATACGTTATACCTTATAGTTGCCATGTATATATTCACTCACACCTGAAAACAGTGTAATTTAGTATTTATTTTAATTATAATTGTAAATTAATTTAATATTTATTTTTAATTGTAATTTAATTTATTATATGACAATTTTATTATTTTATTGTTAAATTTGATTAGTTATTCAATTCCGACTTGACATGTTTGTACTTAATTTTGGTAAATTTGTATTATTATTTTATTTTTATATTGTATTGACATCCATAAAATTGTTATATGGGGCCTGACCAAAATAGATTTACTTAAATAAATCAATTTAAGTTAAACAAAAATGTAAAAATTGACTTAATAAGAGGACGGATCTGTGGTTATTAAAAAAAAAACATACGTTATTTAGCTCAAATAGCCCAGAATTATTGTGCTTGTGGACTGGTCTGTTCCAGTTGTGGCCACTAATAAGACTATTTGCTTTTGACAAAATTGCAATAGCATTTGCTGGTGATCACTATTCTCCCTAATTAGAATTTATAAATAAAGTTTTCTAGTGGGTATGAACCCACACCCTATGCCTCCGATGGGGACTGTCTTTGTGAATATTTTGTGCACAAGGTACAAATAGGGTTGAAATATAACAACCAAACCTACAAAACCAAATATAACACAAAAAAATTAATCTGTTTTTAGCAAGTAAGAATCAATCAGCCCCTCTGGCGGAGTAATAATAATAATATCATAACAATCACACAGCGCCATCTATACCCAAGTTAACTAAAGCTTGTGTTATGAGTACTAGAGAACTGATACTAGATATATGTTTTTTTTCGTAAATACATACATATTGTACATAGAAAACACCCAAACCGATACAATCATACTCATCAATACAAATGTTTGTGCCGTGCGAGGAATTGAACCCGCGATCATCGGTATTAAAACGGTATGCTAAACCGCTAGACCACCGAGGCGTATAATGACGCATATGCAATGGGGTTAAAATTGCCCTTTTACATTGATAGGCAAAAGGTAGTAAGCATATAACATGCAATTTGACCTTTATGATTATTCTTGTAGAATAAAAATATTAAATTTCATACATAAACCACTAATTGTGTTTTGTCCACAGAAACCTTCATCACAAGTACGACACACACCCAGGACGCAAACAAACAGAAAATGGATGAATTAGCGCAAAGGATTACCGACGTAATCTCAGAGGTATGCTGTTATTTACTAGCGACTGATCCCGGCTTCACACGGATGTATTACAAATTAATGAATTGCTCAGTTTGTTGAGCAGTGCGTGAAGCGCGGAGATCTTAGAGATCAGATTTGCACTTTTTGTAACGATACTCCTCCGAAACGTCTTGACCGATGGAGACTAAAATTTCATCAGAGGTCGGTCGGTTAAAAAAATTTATGAGTTCTCACTCAAATTGAACTGACGCTGTCATTTTACTAACATAATAATGATTAATAAATATGTATATACTTAATCGTTTTAGATCACAAAAGCAGCATCTCAAGCACAATCGGAGGTCTCCCAAGGAGTAAGTTCGCAGCGAGATTCCGTGCAGGAAGCTTTGAAGCGGCACGGAGACGCGCTGCAAGTGGCGTTGCAGGCGGTGGTCGCTGCAGTTGTCAACGGTCGCCAGCGGGTGGTAGACCTCAATCTTACCACTAATATCGCCAACGTCGTACGGCAGTGGGTGAGTGCATCCTTAATTCCTTAATCTTATATATAAAATTCTCGTGTCACAGTTTTCGTTCCTTTACTCCTCTGAAACGGCTTGACCGATTCTCATGAAATTTTGTGAGCGTATTGAGTAGGTCTGAGAATCGGCCAACATCAATTTTTCATCACCCTAAATGTTAGGGGTAGTCCACCCCTAATTTCTTTTTTTTAAGTCAAAATAACGTTTGCCGGGACAGCTAGTAATATTATAAATGTAAAAGTAGGGATGTTTGTTCCGCTTTCACGCAAAAACTACTGAACTGATCATCATGAAATTTTGTACACATGTTCTTGGAGGCATTATAATGAACATAGGATATTTTTTATTCAAAGGGAGCGACGCCGCGGGTAAAAGCTAGTTTTACAATAATTACAATAACAAACTATTTCCTACTGATTGGTACTGTTTTTTTGAAGTGAAGTTGGGGTGTCTTAGGATTTTTCGGTCAGAAAAAGCGTTACCATCGCGTGTAGAGATTAAACCAGTGTTTCCCAACGAGAGGCCCACGTCACAGAGGAGCGATTCGAAAATGGACGCTTTATTAAAATTATATGGAATGTTAATTAAAAATTTTCATTACTTGTTTTCAAAATTTACTTAGCGTTTTACTAGCAATTCAGTCAGCTTCTGGGACCTTACCCAAATATAAGTTTAAGAGATACTCGACCAGTGGGTAATTTAGTGTATCTGTACCTATTTACAGGAGGACGGCGCCCGTGGTCGGGTACAGTCGCTGCAGGCCGCTCAGGCCGCGTACAGCGGTCGCGCCGCCCAGACTGAGTCCCGGCGCTCCGCCGCCGCCCGCGCAGCCCGGGACCGGCGCCGGCAGCGGGCCGCCTCCAGGCTCGCCGGCCTCCGAGGGAACATCGCCGTAAGTACATAGCATTCTCTTTGCAAAATTACCATTTTCTTGCCTCATACAGTTTTGTAAATACGACTGTATCAAACAGACGGACAACTTTCACACTATATATATACGAGCATTGCTGATATACAGAAAACAAAAAACCTCAACCAATATAAATACCAACTTTACAACGATCGAAGTTGGGTATTTTCCTATTTTAAAATGCTGCATTCGAGCAATAGTTTTTGCATAATACAAACATACAGACAGATAAATAAGAATTCTAAAAAAAATTTCAATAACAATTCAATCTATTTATTGATATTCAATACATTTGGTGACTATTCTGAAAAAAAAATTTATAGTACGCCCATTATTTTCCTTTCTTTTCTTTTTAGGAAATAGAACAAGAAAAGAGTTTAATGGAAGATCGACTCTCGGAAAGACTTAATGACTGGGTAGAAACAGAAACTAGACTGCTCGAAGAACGACTGGCGCGCCACGCGGCCGCCGAGAGACAAGCACTAAATGACAGACTGAAAAAGAAGATGGAAGAGGTAGAAGAAGAGCGTAGACTTTTAGAAGAGAGGATATCCAAACACATAGAACAGCAGAAGTTGCAGTTACAGACTGACGAGGAGGAGATGAAACTGATTGACGCAGATTTAGAAGAGAGTGAAGAGATAAAAGACGAATGTATGAATAATATGCAGAAATATAGCAAGGAATTCGATGAAGGTAAGTTTCTTAATGTTTTATAGTTTAGCTATAGTTATTTTTAAGTTTTTATCACTTTACTGAAACACTGTTTTAAGTTTTTTTCATGAGTGGTTTCATTCGTACATCTTACTGATATTATAAACGTGAAAGTTTGTGAGTACGGATGGATGTTTGTTACTCTTTCAAGCTAAAACTACTGAATGAATTATGACGAAACTTTACAGTAATATAGCTTACTAGCTTTTTCCCGCGGTTTCGCTCGCGTTATTTTATCCCCTTAGGGGTGGAATTTATCAAAGTCCTATCTTAGGGGATGCCTACTATAGTAGCTTTATGCATGCAAAGTCTCAGCCCGATCAGTTTAAAATTGACAAAGTTTCATACAAACTTTTATCCCCTATTTTATCCCCTTGGGGGGTGGAATTTATCAAAATCCTTTCTTAGCGGATGCCTACGTCATAACATCTACCTGCATCCCAAATTTCAGCCCGATCCGACCAGTGGTTTGGGCTGTGCGTTGATAGATCACTATGTCAGTCACCTTTGAGTTACATATATAAAAATACATTAGAATAACACATATGCTATAATTTAAAAAGATATTATGTAAATTGTGCGAAATATAATTATAAATGTCAAATAAGTGTGGTGCAGACGAAGTTGGGCGGATCAGCTAGTATTATATAAACATGATATTTACCAAGATCACTAATGAGCTCCCGATATCCTTAATAACTTTACTAATATTATAAAAGCGAAAGTAACTCTGTCTGTCTCGCCAACTGTACCGATTTAAATAAAGAATTCCTCTCCCAATCGCCATCTCTCTCTTTCAACCCTATCCACTAACGATAGAGTTGAAAGGGGAGAGGAAAGGTTGTATAGAAGTATCTTCACTTATAAAGTATGAAACTTATTTTTAGATTGTTCTGTAAATATATATAAATATGACATTCCATCACAGCAGAACTGCAATATCTTACGTTTGCATTCCAGTAGTAGCGGTAACATTGTAAGCAGAGCTTGTGTTATGATTACTAAACAACTTTTCGAAATCTTTGTTAATAGATAAATAAGTACATACATACAGACATCCAGAGCAATACCAGACAATCATACACATGAATACAAATGTTTGCATTTTCCGAAGAATTGAACTTACGACCATAGAAAGCAAGGTGGTGTGCTAAACTGATAGGCTACCGAGGGTCTCATTATATATATTTTTATGGATGACTAGCTGTCCCGGCAAACGTTGTTTTGCCTAAAATAAAAAAAAAATTAGGGGTGGACATTTAGGGGGATGAAAAATAGATGTTGGCCGATTCTCAGACCTACTCAATACGCTCACAAAATTTCATGAGAATCGATCAAGCCGTTTCGGAGGAGTATGGGAACGAAAACTGTGACACGAGAATTTTATATATAAGATAATGGAATGGTTATCCCGCCTGCGTTAATGGCTTACGCTGACGGGGCACCAGTGGAGGATGATCATGGTAAATTCACCAAGAATTTACCACAATGGTATCCAGGGGGAACTGCATGGAGGTCAACCTGACATGGTACATTGCTAGCAATAAGATCAATCCATATTACTTACAATTTTTACAATAAAATACCAGAGTCTGTTATAAATCTGCCAGAAAAAAGATTTAAATGTCAAATAAAACACTTCCTTTGCAAAAAAGCTTAATGTTTTTGTAGAAAAAATTTAAATACATAGCACTGACAATATTATCTGATTACACTAATAATGAGTGCGTAGCGATTTCTATGTTGATTATCGCATGACTCTTACTTGTTATACTGTAATTATTTATATAAAAAAACATCTATTAAAAAGAGCAACACACAAGTTTCTTGCTCATTCTTCTTGTGATGAATCTGCATTCCGATTGAGTGGTAGAATCAAAATATGACTATTCAAAAGTGCTTGTAATGAGTTTATTTGAATAAAGATTATTTCTATTTCTATTACAATTTCCAATTTCTAATTCCAGGTACTAGCTCCGTGAATGTAGACTTGGAGGTGTTCAGCAAAAATATAGTGCAAGTGGTGGAGCACATCAGCAATGAACTCATGCAGGTGTTGAACCAGGCCAGGGAACTAGCCGAGGTAAATTTTTTTTTTTTGGGTTCACTTAAATATAAATTAATCAGTTTGGAAGCACATTCAGAAAATTGAACAAGAAACAAGAATTTTTTTTCTAATATAAATAACATTTTACAACTACAATAGACAAACAATACCACTTTTAAATAATACATTTTAAATTTTATGGATAAACTCAGAGTCACTCATAGGGCAATGGAGAGGACTGTGTTCGGAGTTTCTTTGTGTGATCGAATCAGAAATCAGGAGATCGCAGAAGAACCAGAATGACCGAAATAGCCCGAAGAATTGCTTGTAGGACAGATGAAAGTTGAAGACGCAGCGTGGGAAGGCCTCCAGCAAGGTGGACAGACGAGCTGGTCACGATCGCTGGTAGGCGTTGGATACGATCAGCGCAGGACCTGGAGATTTTCGGGGGAGGCCTTTGTTCAGACATGGACGTCTTCCGGACTGAAATGAAGACGATGTTAAAATTTACAACACTCAATAACAATTTATTTACCCAATATCATATTCTGTATATACATCTAGGATATGACATGAAATTGTCTATATTTATTAATTTATTCACCAATAATGATTATTAATTTGGATGGAAATATGTTATCAGCGCGAGACGAGTGCCACACTGGAGGCCGACCGGGCGGCATCTCGTCAGCTCGCGGACGACACCGCCGCCATGCTCGCTCACGTGGACCAGAACACACGACAAGCACTGGACACTGTTGTAAACAAGATCGAGGTATGTTATATGTATATTATAGCATTATTTCTATTTCACTATCATACTATAAAATCTGTTAGATTAATCGTTTGCCGTGGTATGGGCATGTAATGTGTAGGAATGAAGATATTTTAAGGACGGTGTTACATATGAATGTGGATGGTTATAAGGGCACAGGAAGGCCGAAAAAGAAATGGATGGTGTGAAAGATGATATGGTAAGAATGGGAGTAAATAACGAGATGACTGCGAATTAATGGAAGAGAACATTACGCCGACCATAAATAAATGGGATAAGGAAGAAGCAGATGATGATGATGACTAAAAAATCTATTAGACTTCTGAACAAATCCGAATATATGACTGCTTTAATTTGGAAAAGCTCTTATACTTTCTCATAATTATTAGTGTTTTTTATATTACACGTAACTGCTCAAATACTAATCCAACAAAACTATTAAAGTGTTGAGTAAATTAAAATATCGTTATAATTTTTATGTAATGGAGATAATAAACGAACTTATGTCCTGATGGTAAGCGGTAATCATCGCCTATATATAAGGCTATCACGTCATCATGTGATATCTGTGATACCACTCAGGTATTACTTGAAATATGGAGTGCCAGAGGATAAAATTCAAATCTGTCGGACTCCAGACACTGTTATGACTCTTTAGTGATGAAAAACATATATCCTATATCAAACCAAGTATAGTACATTGAGAGACGGCGATAGGCTCTCCCCGCAGTTTCACTACATTTCTAGTCGATGTATCCCTTCTAATCCATCCTCCGTCCAATTCGAAATTACGAAGGCCTGAGCAGAGGTTCGAACCCCTAGCGGTGCCCTCAAACCAAAGTCGTATCCGTCAGGCGAAAGTTGGCCTTCAGCCGCTCCATAAGTCTTTCCGCGGGTTTGGACTGCCATTTGCACTCGTCTCCTCGTCCGGTGGACCTGTAAAAGCCAGCCGCGTCCAACAGCATTAGAGCAGTCCGAAAAAAAACCCTTTCTTAACCCATTTTCAATCTTTAACTCTGCAGGCAAATGGTACGTTAACAATCCAAGAGCTATCAGCTCTCGCCACCTCGACAAGCTCACTGATAACGTTATCAAAAGAACACCACAATGCTCAGTTATCAATAGTTACGGAAGCGCAAACGACCGTAACGGAATACCAGTCTGAGCTGACGGAGTCAGTCGAGAAACACGAGGAGTTGGAGGACCGCTACCTGTCTCAAGAGATCAAAGTTTATTCTCCCACTGGTAAGCTAAATGATATTTTTTTTTATTTTAAAGGAAATGGCGATCAAGCTGACTGCACACTGTAGGTGTAATTTCACTGTCGTATATCACATCTCAACAGAAGGAAAGCAAGGGTGTATTTCACTGTCGTGTGATACGACAATGATTGGCCGTCAACAGAAGCCAAACAAGTTGCATGGTGGCTGAAGTTGCACCCCATTGTTTAATGTTTTAACCTAGAAATACATATCATCAACAAAGTTAGGTTTATTGTCCAATACTGTTTTTGAATTTACTTGCCTTATATTGAGGAGCGTAAAGATAATACACTCAGTATTATTTGCATTTAATAACATCTTAATAGCAGTAAACCTTTTGAAAAAACAGAGGAGAGATCACCATTTGCTTCGTCATTAATATGTCGATTAACTTTGAATACTAATGAAGTATCTTTAGCAAACAGAACTATGTCTGCTATTTTTCTAAAACATAAAGTAGGTAATTTCATCATCATCATCAGCCCACTGCAGTCCACTGCTGGACATAGGCCTCTCCCAGTCATTTATGTACACTAAAAATAAAACAGGGCCTAGGATAGATCCTTGGAGAACACCATTTATTAAAACAACGCTATTTCTACAATTTGCGTTTAAACATTGATCTGAGTGTCTTGACAATGAATATATATGTTGAGTTGTTCTTCACCTTTACGATGGTTTGTTTGGCAGGCAACACCCCGATGCGCGGCGAGTATGCGTACCCTCGGAGGCTGGCGGCCACCTCCCCCCACGACCGCATCCTGGCCAGGTTCAGAGCCATGCGCGCCACTGCCGCTGATGATGTACGTACTCCACTCGCACACGACACCGTCCTCTCCGGCGAGGACGAAGACCAAACCACACCGTCCTCTCCATGGAGGACGATGACCCCAACCACATCATCTTCACCGATGAGGATTATATACAAATTAATTAGAAAATTAAACTATCTTACTAATATTCTAAACATAGAAGTTTTTGAGTGTGAATGGATGGATGGATGTTTGTTACTTTTTTCTTATAAAAATTACTGAATAGAATTTCATGAAACTTTACAATAATATAATACAACTATAAATTTCATGCCAGCAAAACCGCGGGCACATCTAGTAATAAATATAATAAAAGAATTTGAATAGAATGGAATAGAATAGAAAATCATTTATTCAAATAAACTTACATTGAAGCACTTTTGAATAGTCATTACATTTATTTAATCTACCGCTAATTCGGAAAGCTGTCTCATCGCAAGAAGAACGAGCAAGAAACTTGCGTGTTGCTCTTTTAAGTAATTTTATTATTTCTTTACATTTTTAAGTTTAAGTGTGTGAATACAAACCATCAATTAGCACTAATTCAATTAGATACTCAAATAGAAAAAATATTGAATATATAACCAACTGGTTAAACAATTAATAAGAGGAAATCAGTCAGTGATTAGAGCAGACCAGTCCCTACAAGCAGCACCCGTTCACCAGTATGACGGATGAGCCAGCCATCACTGCGCTCGGCCATATATTAGGGAGCCCAATGACCCGGCCCACCACGCCGCCACAAGTCTGGACATTTTAATGAGCATGACAACTCAAAACACCAAAAGTAAAAAGTAGTTTGAGTAAAATTCTATTCGTAATATCCATAGGATTGCGTGGTAGTTGAATGTGATGAGATGCGGCCCAGTGATTCAGAGAGCTCGCTGTCTTCAGCATCTGAGGAGTGTGTGGCCTTCATAGCACCCTCCCCGCCGTCTCAACCCACCACGGAACATAAGCCTATAGTCAAGTGCACCTCTGAAACTGACATATACAGCTTTAGAAAGGTAAGCTAACCCACTTAGCAGCAACGAAAAACATCAAACCTTAGTAATATTATAGACTTCATCTGCGTGGAAACAAAATTTTAATAAAATCTTTTAATAAATGATTTTTATCTATATATCTATCTACAAATGTTTGCACCGTGCGAGGAACCGAACCCGCTATCAACACTAATAAAGCGGTATGCTGAACCACTATCTATATTATTATAATATACTATCCGACCCGGCCATGCGTTGCTGTGGCTAAGGCTCTTGAATAAAATAATATTGCGACTATAAATTGAGATGTAAGCTATCCTATCTTTCAAGTTGGATCAAATTGCACACACTGTGCAAATTGAATTTGCAATCGGTTTAGGAGTTCATCGCGGACAAACAACGTGACACGTATTTTTTATGTATAAAGATTATCGTTGTTAATATGAATTTATACTTTATAATGTCGTTCGCTATCGTTTTAATATAAATTATAATTTTAATCAACAGCAACAACAAAAAGGGAAGGAGAACCCCAATAATTCAGTATCATACAAGAAGAGTTCCAAAATACCAGCGCCATCGTCACACAAGAAGCCGCTAGTCGAACGGAACGGTGTCAACTGATCAAAGCCTGACCTTGCTCTCACTGGTCAACCGCTAGTACGCAGGTAGAATCAGGTGAACATAGTCCCGAGTTCGGTTCTCTGTCTTAGGAAGTTATATCTTGAGTAGCTCGGGTTATACTGTAAATAGAGTTATTTGATTCCACAAGTAGGGTTGAAGGTTTGTTTTTCGGTTAGAAAACTCCACTGCTAACAAATATATAATTTGTTTATAACCAATTTGATAGGTTTAGTTCAGTTTTGGCGCATAATTTAAGGATTTCTGCTTTCTATATTTAAACTGTTTGAAATGATGTAATATTTAAATTAAGTCGTTTATTCAATACCTTTTTTGTATTTTATTTTATTAGTATACTCCGTTTCAATATAATTTACAGGAAATGTAAACATTTTAAGTTAAAAATCATGGAAATAGTGACACATTTAAGCCGAACATTGATGGTTTTAATTGCATATATCACAATTTTTGTAACAGTATTCATTTGTACCTGTATGTACTTTCTAAATGGTATTTGTTTTTGAAATATTAATCGAAAATTGCGTGCAAACACGAATGACATTATAATGTCATTTTTTGTTGCCCATTGCGACTTAATGAAATCTTTCCCTATAGTTAGGAATTTGCGGATGCATATTATTTCACATCCGCGGATGCGGATGGGGACTGCTTTCTTACTAGTCGCCACCTGCATTCGATTCCGCATCGATTTATATGGTTGCGAATTTCTAAATCGATGCGGATGTTCCACATATGCGGATGTGAATATTCGCAACATTATAAATTATAATAGACATACTTTTTTTTGTTGTAGGTTTATTTTATATGTGTATAGGTAATAGAAATACTATAGAAAAACACTTGAAATATACTAGTCGCCAACTATTGACAAAATAGAATTAAACTATAAAAGAATGTACTATTAAAAAACTCTTTGTAGTTCTTTAATTGTACGTTCTTATAACAAATAAGAAATACAAATTTATAATAAAAAGATACATTTCTGATTAGTCAGATACAACTTTTCTTAATGGTTGATAATAGAACGGTGCACATACGCTAGCGGTTTACGCTGGTAAGGCACCAGTGGAAGATGATAAGATGAGCATGAGGTCAGGTCTGTTAGCCCTTTAAGATAAATTCACCAGGAATTTATCACATTGGGTTTCATATTCACCTAGAGGTCAACATGGTACATTGCTAGCAGTGGGGTTATCAGTCCACATTACTAACAATCCAGTCCAACCAAATATTTACATGTATGTAACTGTAAGTAAGTAAAATATGACCAATGTCGTAAATTAATTACTCATTATGTATTACATTTAAAACGCGCTATTGTTCGCCATATATCTCTCAAATATAGAAGTTTTTAATACAATATTTTATTCAAATATATGTAATGTAATTTTCAATAATATGATATTTCGCTACATTATTGATGTTAATGCAATGCTGAAGAATATGATAGTATTATATGCTATAAGTTTATTAATTTTATAAACAAATTATATATTATTATAATAAAATTTCTAATATACTTTAATATAAAATATTAATTAATGATAATTCATTATTTTCACATATATATACTTGTTTGATTGGTTCGAAGTCTAGACTAAGATTTGTGCTGTGTATCAAAATACTTTCTATATGTATAGCTTATATTGTATGTGTCTCTTAACAGGTTAAAGACCGCATGCCCACCGGTGGGTCACTCCGTAACGAAAGTAAATTTACACGTTGGGATCGGGAGATCGCCCGTGGGCAGTTTAATTGAAATAAATCTAGGGGTTAAATAATGTGTACCTAATGCTCTATTTACATTCAGCCGCTTCCCCTGCCACTCGCGCTGTCGGTAATATTGCCGGGCCACAACCGAGCGAGAGGGCTGAATGTAAAAACACGCTGCCACTCGCGCTGCCAGTCCTTTGACTCGCGCACGAGAAACCGACAATCGAGGGAGCGCCGGGCAGCGCGAGTGGCAGCGCCAATGGCATGGGAAGTGTTTCCACTCGTGTTTACACTCTCGCGCTGCTCACTTCCGTGGTCACTTCCCTATCCACTCGGGCTGAGTGTAAATTGGGCATAAAATTATTGTACACTAAAAATATATTTAAAAAGTAATATAAGTAATTAACAATAAAAAAGGCCGGTCCCTATTTGAGAAACAAGATTTTTAATGCGGTCTTCAACGTGTTAATACTAATTGCTTTTTTAAATCTTCAAACATGGTTTTAAGTTTATCTTAGAATTAGTCTATTTTTAAATTGGTTTAGTAGTTAACTGGCATTTTTATTTTAACTTAAAATGGCAATTGCGAGTGCGTTGCCGGCCTATTGAGAAGGAATAAGCTCTTGGTTTCAATATCGTATTGGTTCAGAAATACCGTTGCTGGAAGTTGATTTCATAATACCAAAAATTTCTGAAAAAACGCAGTGGAGGACCGCCATTCATTCAGATAATAGAGTATTTTAGTCTCTGGCGGGTAGTGCGATGTTGAATTGATGGTGAAAAGGTTCCTCAATGGTTGGCAAAGCGCACGTGACACCTCTGGTGTCTCAGGCGTCCATGGGCTACGGTAACCGTTTACCATCAGATGGGCCATATGATTGACCATCATCGTAGTAAAATAAAAAATATAATCACAAAGACTATAACTACATAGCATATATAAAATTATTATAGTATGGTATTTTATAAAAAATATAGTTGTAATAATAAGAGAGATAGCGGTAGGCACTTTGGATCAAATATGCAAAATGTGACGCAGCGTGGGAAGGCCTCCAGCATGGTGGACCGACGATCTGGTCAAAATCGCTGGAAGGCATTGGATGCGAGCAGCGCAGGACCGATCGTCGTGGAAATCTTTGGGGGAGGCCTATGTCCAGCATTGGACGTCTTCCGGGCTGCGATGATGATGATGATGATGATGAAAATGTGACATGTACGTTTTACCACACTATCTTTTTTTTTGTTTTTCGGACTCCGTATAAACTAATATAAATTCATTTATTTTTGTAAATATATACTCGTACATAATACACATAGGCAACATCAAACCCAATAGAATCATACTCATAATTACGAATGTGTGTATTGTGCGAGCATCAAACCTGCTACCATTGGGAATAAGGCGGTGTCCAATACCGCTAGACCACCAAATCCGTCGGTATTGAGTTCCTATTTTATGATTACGGACACCTGAGGGAACTTTTATAAATAAATCTAGCTTTTGCCCGCGGCTTCGCTTGCGTTAATTTATACCCTTAGGGGTGGAATTTATCAAACTCCTTTCTTAGCGGATGCCTACATCATAACATCAATCTGCATGCCAAATTTCAGCCCAATCTGTCCAGTGGTTTGGGCTGTGTGTTGATAGATCACTATGACAGTCACCTTTGAGTTTTATATATTTCGATAATAAAGTTTTACCAAGATGGACCAAGGTCCACGCAGATGACATTGTACAAGGTACAATGTCATCTGCGTGGTTCTTTCTTGCAGGAGAAAAGGCAGTGAAATTGCAGGTTAAGAGGCATAACATCTTAGTACCATTGCCATTCCGCAACGTCATATGGTCATTCACCATTAATAGAGTTGCTTAGCAGGTTGCTTTGTAAAATGGGTTCTGTTTGTAGGGTAATTTAGTCGGTGATATTGGAGGGTACCGAGTATAATAGCTTAGTCCTCTGAAATGACACATGCGGTATCACGGTCGTCACATGATAACGTGATGTCCGTAGTGTCGTTTTCAAGGGTTAGAGGTAACTGGTAATGCGTAGTGCTCTATGGTAAGAGGCAAGTAGGTCACTTATAAGCGACGGTTACCTATTACCATTGAGTTTAACATTCTAACTGTATAAGATTGAGCTAATGGCTGAATTCAATGGTAAAACAATCTTAGAAGGTCTCACCTCTGCAAAATTCATCAATAAAATATCGAATTTTGATAAAAATCATTGTAAAGCGTGATTCGAAAAAACAGCAATAAACTTCATTATATGTATAGTAAACTAAGTTTTAAAAACTTTCGCCATAAACTTTGTTTATTGGATTGTTTTGTGTGCATGTAACGATTTGTAGTTTTTAATTGTAATTGCTATGAATACAATATTCTATATGGATATATTTGACTTGATTTTATATTTAGTTGATTAATAAAGTATTTAAATTGTATTTGGTTTTTATTTAAGTGTCGTTGCATGTTAACCCAAAGGGCTGAAATTCAAAACTATATAAGTAATGGTTACTGTTTAACATCAGGTGGCTAATCTGCTGCCTACTTGCTGTTCTAGATATAAAAACATTATACAAAATTACTTTTAAAACGTGGTGTTGGAGAAAGAAGGAGAAAACATCTAAGAAAAAAGACTGAATATAAATATTATTGAAAATAGGTGGTGAGAAATGTTGGGTTACTTGATACGATATCAAGCAGATCAAGGTAAAAGTTGGACTAGTGTCGTATTTTTCCTTATATAATATAAAATGAAATCGCTTACGCTGTCTGTTCGCTTCGGTCATTTAAACTATACATGGATTTTATAGCAATAGATAGAATGATTCAAGAGGAAGTTTTGTGTGTATATTACATGTACACAAGTGTGAAGCCGGGACGAGTAGCTAGTCAACAATTAAAGAGGTTGATAGAGAATAGGGAAATAAGAGTGCGGTTCTTAAATTAGGAATGAATGAACAAACCTACTTATTCTGTTGTATCATTAGAATTAAGAACAGTTATAAGGATGATTGTGGGAGTAAATAAAAGTAAAAATAATTTTATAATTTATTAGAAAACTGACGATATAATTACATAGAGTACAGCGGATACGTTCACACTTCTTATTTCGGACAAACAAAATCAATACAATATATTATTAGAGACATGCTCACAACACGTCCGTTCCTTTCGAGAGCTGCTCGTATAATGCCTTTTTCTGTCCGAGTCACTGTTCATAGACCGCCATCTTGTGCCCCACTACTCTCGAAAAACCCGAAGTGTAATAAAGAATTTGAATGTAAATAGGATTGTACATACATATTACAGACAAAGTGTGAACACTCAGCTTATATATTTATATAAATATTTACACCTCTCCACAATGAGAGTTAATTATATATCCCGTTGCATGGCTCGAGAGCGAAATACAAATATATAAACGATACCATAGCCTTGCATTAACTGTAAAATAAAATACATACAGTATCATAGACAAACGTTGAAAGATGTCGCCTGCGGTCTCAGAATCTAGTTTTTTTCACAAATATAGTTATTAGATACATTTTAGAATTTCGTTTCATATAAATCCATAACTGGGCCTACCGCATAGCACATCACTTGCTAGGTATGATGGATATTAGAACAACACTGATTATAAGTATCGATATACGATAAATATCGAATGAGAAACATCGATGTTTTGTCTTCGCTAATCTGATGTGTCATTTTGTATTTCGTATGATTTTTTTATGGTGTCCTAAGATATTGGCTTGGCCTAGTTTAGACACTACCGCTCTGGACTTGGTATTAAATAGTTTTTAAGAATTATTGCATTATATATGGAAATAGATATGATAACTTTAGTTAAGTCCATTATGTACGTTTTTTGCACAATAAACTTATTAATATTTATTCGATTACGTCGATGTTTCTCGATCATCCCTACATTCGTGTAATGGAAATATAAAAATCTTCAAATTTTGTGAGTGAACTCTAAAACGTCTTATGAAGGAGCCAGCACAGTTCACCTATAGACGTGCCTGCTTAGTACTTAACTCGAATTAATTTGTGGCTTCTTTGACGATAAAATATTGTTATAAATAATACAAACCCAGGACAATTCACCCAGCGCCATCTAGTCCAAAACTAGATAGCTAGTGTTATGGGTATTAGACAACTGATAGAATACCTAAATAGATAGATAATATATATAGAAAACACCCAGATTGATACAAACATTCGTATGAATACAAATGTATGTACCATGCCAGGAATCGAACAGGCGCTCATTTAAATAAGATATTTACTTCTCGTATCTATCTAATATAGTTGTAGTTAAGTCAGCCATGTTGCCGACCATATTTAGAAATAATATAAGATAAATTATTATTGTAATTGTTCTAAGTGTGTATGTATGTATGTATATATGTATATGTAAAAATGGTTGACAATAAATGTTTTTCTTTCTTTCTTTCTTTCTTTCTTAAGTAAATACTTTATCTATTATGTAATTATTTATACACACCTATATAAATATACATTGTAAAAAGTAATTCAATTGAGTTTCTTGCCAGTTCTTTTCAATTGGATCTGTACCGATATACCGAACTGGACGGTAGGGAAAAAATTAAAATTATAATGTAAAAATTTGACGTTCATAAGCGGCTAAAATGTCCTACATGAATAAATTATTTTGAATTTCAATTCACATATTAAGATCAGATTAATTGTAATAGTCAATCAATATTAATAATTCAACTTTAATATTATTTTGTTATTACTTTGAAGTACCTCAGACGGCTTTTTGTTTGTCAGTTTCAGTAGTCACATTTTATTTTGAATAGCACTTTAAGTAAAATTTAGTTTCCATTACATACTTAATCTAATCTAATCTAAACATATAAATAAAATTGGAGTGTCTGTTTGTAATATTGAAATAACCGTTTTTTACTACATGCATATGAATGTAAATACAGTACATACACCGAAAAACCACTTTTTAAAATTTTTGTCTGTCTGTCTGTCGGTCTGTTTGTTCCGGCTAATCTCTGAAATGGCTGAACCAATTTTGACGGGACTTTTTTTGACAGGTAGCTGATGTAATAGGGAGTAACTTAGGCTACTTTTATTTTAGAAAAATAAAATTATATTCCACGCGGACGAAGTCGCGGGAACAGCTAGTATAACATAAAAATCTTCAAAGATACCACACAAATAATTCGAGTATAAAACATATATAAAATAAATTATTACTGTTTGGTTTCCATACTAAAACTAAAAACTGTTTTTATAACACTTAAGGAACAATAAATGCAATGTATTTCTTCAAATAGAGGAGTTCTCTGCATTACATCACAAAAAAAAAATCGACGACCGACAGAAACTTCTCCATTTTGTTTAAACTTAAATATATATAAATATTTCATAATATTAGAGTAAAAATTAATTCTACTTCATTTCGCTGTATCTATTTATTGATTTATATCGAAATTTGAGTAATATTATTTATAATATTAAATAACATACTTAATTGTTTAATGAAAACTGATATTTTAATTTAAAATGACTGTAGAATATTCTTTAATTTTAATAATATTATATTAATAGAAATAAATACCAAAAAATGGTGGGAGACTACTTATTAAATGCCATTGTTATTTTTATGACTAAATTAATTTAATATACACTACGAAGAGTTTTGTATTTATTTACATATCTTAAATATACTGGAAGCATGTGTAAATTACATTATAATTATTGTAAAGTAACTTAAGAATACTGTGGACCCTATGTTCCTGACTTTAGATAGTTACAAAATTTAAAATTAATAAATTAATGACAACCTTAGTTCATATATCATTAAAGAAGATAATATCTTGTTGGAACAGTAGATCTACTTATATAATTGTTGCATGGATTTTAAAGAAGATACGATAGAATAAAATACGTACGGTAGATACGATAAAATGATTGTATCTAGCAAGGAACATACAAAAAAAATTAATAAATAATAAGAAGTAATTAAATAATTGACTTCTGCTATTGGATATCTTGTTACTGACACTTTTCTTATAGTTTTATAACAAATAACTTTGTTATATGTTCTATTAAGTCTTTATTTTATTTATATAATTAATTGAATATTTAATCAACTTAATGATGTTACAATAATTTCATTAATTTATCATTAAATAGTTAACTCTGTTATAACTTTTTAATAATGATTACACTTTTCGTAGACAAGACTAATGAGATGATATCATCACGATTATCTGACGATGACATTATTAATTCCACATATCGAACCCTTAATACAAACTGCATTAAACCAAAAAACTGAAGATCGACATTAAATATTGAATCCTTAAAGTTGTAATTCCAAAACTTGAACTTTTGTTAATACAGTTTGTACTAAGAATGTGATTTTCCGTGTCCTTAATCAGACAATCGGTTAATTTTCATCAATCAATCGATTAATTAATGTAAACTATTCATTAAATTGTTAAATCGATCGACTGCGCTATAGGTTGTTGACTGAAATGATCTGGTTGATCCAACCGATGAAGGAGGAGACCTTTACGTAGACTCCAGGCACGTCCCGTCGTCCGCAGCCGAAGCCCCACGACACGAGACCTACGAGTTCGTAGAAGCCGTCGTCTTGGCATACCAGGGGACCGCCACCGTCTCCCTACAAATACCGAAATTATTGACTTTGTAATTTGTAAGAAAATAGGTTGGTTTAGATTTACACATAGTAAAATGATATCTAGGTTTAGATTGTAAAAGTAAGATACGATTGATCCCGAATACAGATCAGAAAGGTTTGTTACTGATGTCACATGTTTTTTTTTATGGATGATAATGGAATGGTTCACCTTCCTGCGCTAACGGTTTACGCTGGCGGGGCACCAGTGGAGGATGATAAGATGAGCATGAGGTCAGGTCAGTTAGCCCATCGTGACAAATTCACTAAAGAATTTATCACGATGGTTTCCAGGGGAGCGCGTTCATTCTTAAAAACTCGGCCTTAACCGATCTGATTTAATTTGAATGGTAAAAGATGACCCGAAAGTAGACCTGCGTTGAAATTTTGGTCTCGATCAGTCAAGCAGTTTCGGAGGAGTAACGTTACAAAGAGTGCAAATCTAATCTCTAAGATCTCTCTCAATAAACGTACTGATGGTAAACAGTTTTGTATGCATGAATAGGTAATAAATAAAAAAAAAATACAAACCTGGCACGCGTCGTTCCCTTCTTCTCCACCAGCGCAGAAGGAGCTGGCGGGCAATATGAAGATCTTCTCTGTGACCGCGTTCACCTTGCGAACACACTCTGCGTCACTCACTATGGGCAGCTCCGCTTCACGCACTCGCAGAGGGATCGGACCGGCTAGGCAATACAAATATCTAATTAGGAAATAATAATATTTAACATCCATACTTACAAACTTTCTAAGTACAAAGTTACAAAGTTTGTAAGTATGGATGTTAAATATCTTAACAACATCTATTACAAATGCGAAGTTTATAAGTATGTATGTTTGTTACTATTTCACGCAAAAACTACAAAACCGATTTTGATGAAATTTTACAAAATATATGTAGCTTACGCAACAGAATAACATATAAATAGTTGTATTAGTTATGTAATATAGTTATATAATTTTATATAAATATTAATGAAATTAATAAATATTATGTTATCTGTGATATAGGCTATATTTTTTATTGAAATTTTTTTTTTTCTTTATTCATCTTTATTTAAGTATAACAAAATCAATACAAATAGATATACATCTAAGAGGCTACTGCAAACATATTTTTTGCGTTACACAGACAATAAGTCTTTTTAAACATATAACAGTACGGAAATAATATATACAATAAATATGACGATCAATAATTAACTCTATAAAAATATTTATGTATGTTTGATAAATATACCTACATAATACAACAATGAAACAAAAATAATATACAACTAGTATTAGAGCTACAATAACGTTAATATTTATTAAATTAATAATTTGAGGGTAGAAGTGTAAATTTTAGATCGGTCGGTCGCCAACAGCCCATACCCACTATTCATTGAGAAAATAGTGATGGGGTAAGCGATATCGACGATAAGTTGCTGAGTATGGTAAGTTGTTCAATCTAGTTTTTCCTATTGCTGAGACCAGAAGATTGGGGTGTTTTGGATTTTTGTTCAGGTAAAATTTATTGAAATTATATGCGTGTGAAACCGCGGGCACAGCTAGTATATTTATAAAAATAATTTATTCAGAGTTATACATTTACGGCTTTTATCCTAGATAGAGTAGACAAAGGCTGCTGCAGTGTTGAGGACTTACCTTCTCCCATATAGCCATATCCAGTCACAGTACACCTGGTACCAGCGCCGTGGCTGACCCCCCTTGCTGGTAGACACACCAAGCATACTCCTATAACAATAATGGACATATTGAGAAAAGTGTATTTTATTAAATTCATAATTTTGCTGACTGTACCTTGCTTGTATAAATCGGATAAAAAGTATTATATGTATAAACGTAATGCTGGTAGAGACTGTACCATGTTTTTTTTCGGACTAGTCTAATGCTGTTGGCCGCAACTGTCCTTTACAGCTTCACCGGACGATAGGGGGCGAGTGCAGATGACACTCCAAACCCGCGGAAGGACTTATGGAGCGGCTGAAGGCCAACTCCCGCCTGACGAATACGACTTCAGTTTGAGGGCACCGCAAGAGGTTCGAACCTCGGCTCAGGCCGTTGTAATTACGATCCTCGTTTGAATTTGAACGTGGGATCGATTAGAGAGGGGTACCTTGAGAAACAAATCTAAAGACCATACAATAAAAACAAATAAATATTACGAACTAATTAACGAGAAATGGTTATATTGTTAATTTATATACGGTCGAGGTGGCAGCGAGAGGTAGACCAATGAAATCGCTCTACAATTTTCTAATAATCATCTCGAATTCTGCACTGGCGGTAGATTTGTACATAGCATAAGAGTCTGTAATAGACTTATATGAATAAAGCTATTTTTAATTTGAATTTGAATTTGAATTTGATTTGAATTTGAATTTGAATTTGAATTTTAATTTGAATTTGAATTTGAATTTGAATTTGAATTTGAATTTGAATTTGAATTTGAATTTGAATTTGAATTTGAATTTGAATTTGAATTAAGGAGTAATTATTCCAGATGGGGTACGCGAATTCATTGCTACGTTTTGATATCGTAATGAATAATCGCTATAGTATAATCCTGCTGAGGAAATGACCATGATCCATGACCAATTACAAACCTAAGATAAATAAAAATTGTTACCAACCTTCTGTGAGCTCCGCCTTCCCATGTAACTTCAACAGCGCGATGTCATTATCGAGGGTCTGGCTGTTGTGGTTGTGATGGATGTATGTGGTGGCCACTCTCAGGGTTTGAGCGCCGGGGGAGCCATACTTGCGCGTCAGATCGTGATCACCGACGCGGACGTAGATTGCATCACCGGATCTCACAATACTGGAAGTTAATTATCACCATCAATACTTTTTTTTATGTAGGTATTCTTATAGCACATATAACATAATATTACATACTTATAGTAAGTATAATAACTGAGGACAATTCAGATAGCGCCATCTAGTCCGAAGCTAAGCAGAGCTTGTGTACTAGATAACTGATTCAAAGGGATTGTTACCATTATCGTATCTGTTCTAATAATAATCTCAGGACAATTCACACAGCGCCACCTAGACCCAAGTCAAGCTAGCTAAAGCTTGTGTTATGGGTACTAGATAACTGATATATATACATAAATATATATTGTTTTGTAAATACATACATATTATACATAGAAAACACCCAGGCCGATACAAACAATCATACTCATGAATACAAATTTTTGTGCGTGCGAGGAATCGAACCCGCAACCACCGATCGCAAAGCGGTGTGCTAGACCGCTAGACCATCGAGGTCGTTTAATATGGATTGATGTTCTCATTACTAACAATGTATCTTAATTGATTCCTAATGAATACACCAGTTATAAAACACGATGGTTTCTTTCTGTGGGACCGCGTGGAGGTCGATCCGACATAGTACATTGCTGGCAACGGTGCCACAGTCATCATTAATAAGCGAAATTTAAAGCGAGGTTGCTTAGCTGTAAAATTGAGTGAAATAGAGGTCCCCACGTCGACTTAGCACAAAGCCTCGCTTCAGTAAACGTAAACCTCTTATGATGATGATATCTGAATGATGACTTACTTGGTGACACAGTGAGCTGCCGTGAGCACCCACTGGGTGCCAATGAGCGCCGCCCCACACAGATATTGATTGAGAGAGTTGATGAGAGCCACCTGCCAGCACCACTCGCCACGCTCGCCATCCTCGCCACCCATCACGCGAGCCGTGCGGGATGACGTCCCTGTTGCCAATTAAATGTATTTTAATAATGTCCGATTTAAAAGAAAGAAGGAAAGAATAAAAAAAAACATATTTCGTTAATAAACATATTCATCTATTCAAAAGAGCAACACACAAGTTTCTTGCTCATTCTTCTTGTAATGAATCTGCATTCCGAATGAGTAGAATAAAAAATATGACTATTCAAAAGTGTTTGTAATGAGTTTATTTGAATAAAGATTATTTCTATTTCTTTTTATTGAGAACCATTCACATATTCATATCAATTAGAAAATCATTTAATCTCGCAGAAAGTTTTTCTATTAATATTTTTAACCTTATAACATACATAACAACATATATACAAATAATAATATAAGTACAAATGTTTGAACTGTTTTTTCGGACTATTCTAATACTGTTGGCCGTAGCTGGCCTTTACAGCTTCACCGGCCGTTATGGGGCGAGTGCAGATGGCACTCCAAACCAGCGGAAGGACTTACGGAGCGGCTGAAGGCCAACTCCCGCCTGACGGATACGACTTTAGTCTGAGGGCACCGCTAGGGGTTCGAATTTCGTAATTTCGATATAAGAAATTTAGTCATAATTTCGATCCCCGTTTGAATTGCATGGATGGGAGCGGTATTTGAACCGTGCGAGGAATCGACCCCGTGACCAACTGAAGTAATGCAGTGTGCTAAACCGGTAGACCAGCGACGTCGTTGAATATAATAGCTATATATGTATAGTATACGTACCTTTAACTCCGCAGACATATTTGTTATATTTCTCGGGCATTTTCAAAGTCGACCCGTACGCAGGCTCGTACAGTGTTGCTGCAGAAAACAAAATGTTATTTTTAATGTTTTTTGTTTTTACATTCGAAATGAATATTTTTGCCACATTTTTCATTGGTACTCCGCTCCTATTGGTCGTAGCGTGATGTTATATAGCCATAAGCACTCGGTGAAAGAATTTTTAAAATCGGATCAGCAGAAACGGAGATCACCCCGAATAAACAAACATACAAATACCTCTTTATAATGTTAGTATAGATTTAACATCAAGATAAGCGATATATTCCGAACAAACAAACAAACATACCTCTTTATAATGTTAGTATAGATTTAACATCAAGATAAGCGATATTCTGTCGGGTATTGTCAGATAGTTTATACTTACGCATAATGGTGGTGTGATGGTGTGGGTGGGTGACGATGGTGGGCGCCACGCTGGTCGCCAGCGGGTACGTGTCGTTCCTGTCCTTGTACCCGAGCACCTCCTGCACCTTGGACTTGGGCGCGCAGCACTGTGTTCCCGCTTTCTTGCATTTAAACACATCCGTCATTTCTGCATTACCTGTTTAAAAAAAGGAATTTTTATACCCAAACTCTTGTACCTAATTTAGGCGATTTTATATAAATTATTGTGGGTAAAGTATCCACAAGAATAGACATATAACTGCCGATCTTTAGATACTTCGTCCGCGTAAAATTTATGTTTATTTTTATCATAAATAAAAATTTGTACATATAAATAAAATTGGAGTGTCTGTTTGTAATATTGAAATAACCGTTTTTTACTACATGCATATGAACATAAATACGGTACTTACTGTACACCAAAATAATACTTTTTACAATTTTTGTCTGTCTGTCTATCTGTCTGTTTGTTCCGGATAATCTCTGAAATGGCTGGACCGATTTTGACGGAACTTTTTTGGCAGGTAGGTGATGTGATAAGTAACTTAGGCTACTTTAATTTTAGAAAAGTAAAGTTAAATTCCACGCGGGCAAAGTCGCGGAAACAGCTAGTTTATAATATAACAGTAGTCTAAGTTACTTACCTTATAACACTAGCTAGGATCTCAGCAGGTATTGAATGGTTACATAAAACGTACATTCTCAAACATACTCTCCAATCACGTAAAAGATGTCTCAGAAACAAGTGAAGGAGAGCAGCGAGACGATGTAGGAGTCGCTGGTCGGTGGAACGAGCGGGTATCCCTGCCTATTATTTTCCATCGTGTGGGTAGTCGGGCGATTATCACTATAATGTATGCTGGGATACATAGTACAAGTGAAACTTCAACGGACCAACGTTGTCCTCTCTTCTTTTTCTCTCTCTCACAACACGATATATCATCTACCTCCTCTACGCAACGGGAACGCTTTTTCGTGAAAAATCCTAATACGATCTATATAGACTCCCTTACGACCTCTCCATCAGGTGATCACGTCCTCTTCGTGACGTGGAGGCGTCAAGCTAAAATCGAATCCCGACATATGACTGCCACAGCCAGCTATTCCGGCCGGCCGGTAAGGTGGCCGGTAAACGAACAACGATAGGGTGGTTCACTCCAGCAGCACGCCCGGGTAAGGAGCAAGTGCTCGAGGCCCGAACCCTGCGGTCCGCAAGGATCTGCAGAAGACCTGAACTGGTCTATATAGAAGTATTAGTGCAAAAAGTCTTACGGAAGCAAGTGAAGGAGAGAAGCGAGACGATGCAGGAGCCGGGGCAGTCTGGGCGCTGGTCTGCGGGGGCCGCGGGCGGCGCGGGGGGCGCGGGCCGCGGGGTGGTGGTGGCCGGCCGGGGGCTCGGGTGCGGCCGCGGACTCGTGCGGCTCACCCTGTAATAATTATATAATAATCCTTCATACAGGACATTATAATAACCTAGTAAGGACAACAGTCCCCACAAGCAGCACCCGTTCATACTCGTGAACGGGTGCTGCTTGTGGGGACTGGTCTGTTCAGGTTGTGAACACTGATTAAATTTTTTGTTCTTTGCGATAGCATATGCTGGTGGTCACTCTATTCTCCCAAATTTGAATTTTAATAACTGTATTTATCATAAACATGTTCCACTATTATTTAAAAAAATACGAGCTGAGTTTCTTGTCAGTTCTTCTCATCTCGATATCATTCCGAACTGACGGTAGATTTGACATATCATAAGAGTCTGTAATAGACCTACATGAATAAAGATATTTTGAATTTTGAATTTTGAGTGACATATTGTTATATTGAGACTTATGTAACATGCCTTAATTTGATAATGATGTCATAAAAGATATTATTTAACAAATTGTCATAAGTTTATGTAGAAAAAATCTTTGTAACGACTGCAAAATTGTAAACTGTAAATTAAGAAATAAATATTTTAGTGTATAATAATACTTATCAGGACAATTCACACAGCGCCAACTAGACCCATGTTAAGCTAACTAAAGCCTGTATCATTGGTACTAGATAACTGATAAATATATTTAGATTAGGTAGATCACGGGATCGATTTCCAAAAAACAGCAATATTCATAATATTAATACAAGATTTAAAGACAAACTTGCTGTCCCCAAGTATCGTTTAGAAAAAGTTAATAGGTCTTTTATGGGAATAGGTATAAAAATTTACAATAAGATACCAAAGGATATGTTGGAATTACCCTTAAATAAATTCAAAACATCTGCTAAATCATATTTACTGAGCAAAGCCTATTACTCACAAAACGATTACTTGAATGACGAGCGTGCATGGCAATAGTTGTTCATGCACTGAATTTTCATTTAATGACATAGACACCTATATAAATATACATTGTAAATAAACTGGCTTTAAAAAAAAAGTAATTCAATTGAGTTTCTTGCCAGTTCTTCTCAATTGGATCTATATACCGAACTGGACGGTAGGGAAAAAAAAATTAGAATGTAAAAATTTGACGTTCATAAGCGGCTAAAATGTCCTACATAAATAAATCGCATTATTTATCCCTGTAATAGAATAATAACACGTCCTCTCGTCCATTATTATGTAGTATATGTATGTATATTGTATGTATTGGTGTGTAAGTTTATTTATTTATGTTTATAAAATGTATGTTTATCTATAATTGTATAATAAATAGAGTGTTTAGTGCGCCTCCTACCTTCTCTCTTTATGTAAATACTCTCTGTTAACACCGGGTTGTCTGTAAGAGATTGCTGATAGCGATAAGACCGCCTTTTGTAAAACATTTATTTTCATTGTTTTATACTTACTGTCCTATGTTTATGTATGCGCAATAAAGAGTTATTATTATTATTATTATTAATAAATGATTTTTGAATTTGAATTTAATTACTCGCATTACAGTCATGGAAATATACCTGGTATTGTCACAGCAACTCTCTCCTCGAAGTTTGCACCTGGTGCCCGGTATAATGACTGCGGGCCGTTCGCAGAATGCAGCCATGATGCTCATGAAGCAGTAGCCAGGACACGCTGGCAGTTTGGGCTGCAGATTAAAATAATTATATGTGTTAAATATAATATTTTATTAATTTATATTGTTCATAATTAACTTTTATATTTTTTTTGGCCAGTAATATAATATTTTTCGCTCTCAAGAGGGGAATATCAATGGGACACAGTTACCAAGATACATCAAAATAATAATTGCATTTAATAATGTCTAGTAAGACAAATTCAATATTGTGTACTAAGCACTGCTGTGTCTAAACTGTGTCATTTTCCTATTGTTATTTAGTATATAAGATCATTATTTCTATGTACATATTGTCAGTTTATTATCATCTGTAATATACATCGTCTCGACCAACAACATCGTATCATTTACCCGCAACAATACTCATAGTATTAACATCGAGCATACAGCTATGACGCGTTCGTCATCCTACTGCGGCTGCGCGTCGTGCAATATTATGCATCTGTGGCGCATAAAGTTTGCGCGGGAAAACTAACTACAAAATGGTTTCTTCTGCAGCCATCTTGATTGTAGATCATTTATATGTTTAAAAATCAAATATCATAGCAGTGAAATTGCGATGCAGATGCAAAATGAAGATGCGGGTGCAGTTAGTATTACAATATTACTTAATATTGTAATACCAGGGTGCAGTTAGTATTACAATATTAAGTTATATTGTAATACTACCTGCACCCATCCGCGTGGAATTTAACTTTATTTTTCTAAAATAAAAATAGCCTAAGTTACTACTTATTACATCAGCTAACTGCCAATAAAAGTCCCGTCAAAATCGGTCCACCCATTTCAGAGATTAGCCGGAACAAACAGACAGACAGACAGACAATAATTGTAAAATTGTAAAATATGCCTGTAGTAAAAAACAGTTATTTAAATATTACAAAGAGACACTCCAATTTAGTTAAATGTATAGATGTATAGAGATTTGTTGGTGAAATAAATAGATTGCAGTTAAATTAAAAAAAAATGAACACTAACAGGTCTCGGTGTGGTCGTGGTGGTAGGAGCTTTGGGTTCATTGATGCAGCAGGTACCCTCGGCTGGACAGAAGGCATCCCGGTCAACGTGGTCACACCATAGCGCCAAAAACCCGTTCATGCATTCTCCCTGACACTCCTTACCGGGTTTAGGTCTTGGAGCGAGTGTGGTTGTGTACTGGAACTGAAAAAAACCTACTAATCAAATCAAATCAAAAGTAAATTGTATATTTTAATTTCATATTTCGACATTCTTTTTTTATATACCAATTGTTTTGTAATACTACATTCCTTGTCTTTTTGGTTTTTGCTAGCAAGCTGATTGTACATATCCCAACAAAAACATAAATGTGAAATGATAGCCAAGTTCAATATTATGATATATGCCTTGATTGTTGACTTCAACGACAGAAGAAGTGAGATCTAAATGAGTGCCAAGTCATGGTCAATGATCAGTCCTGTAATTTATTTATAACAATATAAAATATCATTTTTTTTATGTGGGTACTATTCAGAGCATACTACATGCCCCTACTACGGATATTGCTCTGTGTTTGTGTGCGCTGATAAAAGCAATTTAATAAATAGATCCCTCGCTGTTGACAATTATTTCATTGTTTATTTTTTTTAAGAATTATTACGATTAGTTTGTAATATCTGAACTGGGTTGACATGTCTGAAAACGAAAACCCCAAAATAAATTTAGATTAAAAAAAACATTTTTTCTTATAACTTAGCCTTAATTTTTTCTTAATGTAGCCTAAGTTCTGGCTTGGCTAGTTTGTGTAAAACTACACACGGTGCTGCTCGCCAGTTCTCTTACTAGAACTTGGCTTTAACACGCTCCCGCGTGTCTAAGTTTTACCTCACCTAGGAACATGTCTCATTTTAAACGAAAACAAAAGAATTTGGAAGGTTTTAAAAATAAAATTGAACATAAAATATCTAGTGTCGTAGTACCTCAATATGACCCGGACATTGTATGTGAACATATTTTTAATTTAATTGAACATGAAGCTAGCAGTGCTAGCAGTTTAATACAGTCCTACCATCACAATTGTCTTTGCGGGTAAAATTATTATTATTACTAGCTGTTCCCGCGACTTCGTTTGCGTGGAATTTAACTTTGTTTTTCTAAAATAAAAGTAGCCAAGTTACTCCTTATTACATCAGCTACCTGCCAAAAAAAGTTCCGTCAAAATCGGTCCAGCCAATTCAGAGATTAGCCGGAACAAACAGACCGATAGACAGGCAGACAAAAATTATAAAAATGTTATTTTTCTATCTATCTTATATATATTCATGTGCATGTAGTAAAAAACGGTTATTTCAATATTACAAGCAGACACTACAATTTTATTTATATGTTATTAATGTAAATTTCTCACAGTAGTGGTAGGTCGTTTGGTGGGTTGCTTCTTCTCACTGGGCACCACCAGATCCGCCGGTGGCTTGTTCCCGTAACCCTCCTTGGTAACACAGCACAACCTGCCCTGCACACAAAGATCCTGGGACGTGAGGTACGCCTGGCAGTACAGAGATAGATGAGCTTCCACACACACCCCTGGGCAGTCGATGTTGCCTGCAAAAAAAAACTAACTTTACCGGCTACTTCATACGTGCAGTATTCGAAATAACTGTAAGTTAAATTAACTATCTCTTATTAATAATATAAACGTGAATGTTTGTGAGTATGGATGCATGTTTGTTACTCCTTCTCGCAAAAACGATTTAACGGATTTTGATGAAACTTTACAATAATATAGCTTATACATCAGAATAGCATATAGGCTATAAATTTCACTTTGCGAGTGAAACCGCGGGCACGTTTATTATAGATATATGAACCATATTATTTTTTATTGAGGATTGTAAAATACTGATCTAAGGAAAACAGCAAAACACGTCCGTACTGAATATGTTTTATTCTGATACAAAAAAGAAACGTAATTACCTTATCATAATAAAACTATACTACCTACATTACACCTCCATCTTAATTTGGAACTCTTAATTAATTATACCTTGTGAACATGTAAATTTTTAACCTATAACTTAATATATATAATAATAATATAATATATAATAATAATCTCAGGACATGGATGTGGATGGTTATAAGGGCAGAGGAAGGCCAAAAAAGAGATGGATGGACTGTGTGAAAGATGATATGGTATGAGAGGAAGTAAATAACGCGATGACTGCGAACAGGGATGAATAGAAGAGAAAAACATATTACGCCGACCACAAACGAATGGGATAAGGAAGAAGCAGATGATGAATAATCTCAGGACAATTCACACAGCGCCATCTAGTCCCAATTTAAGCTATATAAAGCTTGTGTTATGGGTACTAGATAACTGATACAAATACATAGATATTTTTTTTTCGTAAATACATACGTATTATCTATGTATAATAACACCCAGAAAACACAAACAATCATACTCGTGAATACAAATGTTTGTACCGTGTGAGGAATCGAACCCGCGACCATCGGACGTACATCGGATGTAAAGCGGTGTGCTAGACCGCTAGACCACCGAGGTCGTCTAATAATATAATCTAATAATAATAACAAGTATATAAGTTTACAGATATAAATAGAATAGAATTAATCCATTTCAAACCCAAAACGAATCACTGGATTGGGGTTCCTAGTGATATTACGAGGGTTGGGGGGTAAATTCGTTGCTACATTCGCTTTCAGATGTTCCGCAACAGATCTTGGCATCTGTACCTGTTCAGATGATTTGTCACCTCTTTTCACCACCGCTGACGCATTGTGATGTGTCAGGTGCTAAGACCAGTAGCAGTGTAACCGACAGATCTATTTTGCTCGCCCTTTTTCAAAGTTCTAATTTATTTTGTTACACAAGTATCTATTTATTTACCTATCTCTATTTTGTTATATAACAGTTTCTATTCACACAAAATCATAAATTATAATGTCGAAAAATATTTGTTAAAAGAGCAACACCTAAATTTCATATTCATTCTTCTTGTGATTAATGTGTGTACCGATTTAAAAACTTCGGTAGTGGTTATTTATTTATTTATTTATTTACTTTATTCAGTTATTTATTCACGATAAAATTATTTGTGTCAAAACTTATTTACCTATATGTATTAATAAAATTTATTTGAACAAAGATTATTTATATTTCTATTTCTTACACGTGTAATTCCTAGTGATTTCGTGACTAGTGGTTAATTGATCTGACTTTCTCATCCTACCATCGTTCACTGGTGCCCCGCTAGCGTATACCTGAAGTTATGCTCATTCTAAGATTCTCCTCTGGTGTATACAGTTATATTAATACTAATCTCAAATTATATACTTCAAAATTTTAAATAGAGAAATGTGAGTAGCGGCGTACATTTTGCGTAACACGGAACGGCTGGAGGAAACGGTCCGTCCACGAATCGATGCCTATGGAGTGTCAAAAAACTCTATTGTCATATTGGGACGCAGATTGGAGACTGATCTGGATATAGGGATCAATCTAAGATTGGTAGCGATCTTGGATTGTGTATACGTATTGATTTCGAGCGTTAGCAAAGGAGGATGCGTAATTTCATTATGGACCATTAAAACAAATAACACGACCAATTTAAGAAGTCATTACACTACCCATATTTAGATTAGTAAATCCTAATATTTAATATGGCGTACCTACCTACTAATTACCTAATAAGTACCTAATAATTATTAAACACTTTACAAAGTTTTTGCTTCGCATAATAATATAATTATACTTTATAGTGATCTCCCTTAGAGGGCGTGATAATAAATAAATAACTCTGAACAATTAACACAGCGCCATCTAGTCCCACGGTAAGCAGTACTTGCGTTAGGGGATAACTGATACAAATTCAATATGAAATAACACGACCAATTTAAGGAGTCATTACACTACCCATATTTAGATTAGTAAATCCTAATATTTAATATGGTGTACCTAATAATTACCACTGTCTTTGTATTTGTCGTGTGCTGGTGCCTTGACGGTGGTGTCCTCGTCGTCTTCATACTCCTCTGTGGTCGTTATCACCGGCCGCAGTGTCGTCATTGTGTCGTTTCCTGAAATACAATGTTTTCGTCATTAAATTAATTTACCATCATCGTCATCATCATTATCATCATCATCATCGTCGTCATCATTGTCATCATTATCATCATCATCACCATCCTTTCAGACTGGAAGATGTCCATTGTTGTACAAAGGTCTCCCCCAATCACCAAAATCAAAACCAAATCTCCACGACGATCGGCCCTGCGCTGCTCGCATCCAACTCCTTCCAGCCTTCCAGATCGTTCTTCTAAGAAAGGATTTTGATTACTTCTACCCCCAAGGGGATAAAATAGGGGATGAAAGTTTGTATGAAACTTTGTCAATTTTATTTGACATTACCTAATGGTTCATCAGCGCAGCACTTCATCGACGGCTTGGGACATTCCACATCATCCAGCACCTTGGAGCACACGAGGGAAGCGAGCACGTTCATGCATACGCCCGGGCAGCCCTTCACGTCCTCCACCTGGGAGTCCAGCGCGTCCAGGAGACCTGTGACAATATATGTATATATAAAATCAACTTCAAAATCATTTATTTATGTAGGAACATATTAGTCGCTTATTAACGTCAGGTTTTTGTGTTAGAAAATTTTTCCCCTACCGTCCAGTTCAGTATACATATCAATTGAGAACTGGTAAGAAATCAACTGAATTATTAAAAATTTATTTTGTTTACATTGTACATTTATATAGGTTGTACGGAACACCGTACCATAATAATAATATACTTATAAATTATCACTTACGTAGCATATATCATTTCACTATACATATATTACTATACAATAAATCAGTGTGTAACATCAAGCGCTCACTACGGGACGTATCTTTTATTTATCATCCCCGTAGATTATCAATTATCACTATCAATTATCAATTATCACTATCAATTATCATTATCAACAAGTGTAGGAACAACCCCTACATTTTTTTTGGTCCTTCGAGGAACCAGTTTAAAATCAGAACATTACTTATATTCTTCGGGAGACTTGACTTTCGTGCCGCGTAGTCAAGGAAGTCTCAGACATTTCTATACAGTGGTGTGCAAATAAACATTATCAGTGCCCATTGTGACTATCATCAGCAGCTTATATCATCTTCGAGCGATACTGCTCGAAACGCCAACATCAAAGATCAGCGGTCTACGCCTCATTCACAAACAGATAAGCATCAAATATCAAGTAAGACTATTCTAATTATTATATAATAAAAATGGAAGGTTTATACAAACGCCAGTCTGAAATTCTTGAAAACATTAATAAGATCAAAAGTAATTTTACCAAAGATCCCGCCTCAAGAAAGACTGTGGACTACATTCAGCGTCGTCTGGATACTCTAGATAATTTCTGGGGAGAGTTTCAACAAAATCATTTACAACTCTCGGTCCAACCAGATGTCAAGTCCGAATATTTTACGAGAAATGTTTACCAATATTGTCAAGAGCAGTATCAGTCCATACGACAGATATTATCCACTTATTCAAAGGAGGATAAGGCCACGCAACCAAGTTGTGAAATTGACAACTTAATAGCATTACAACGAACGAATTTTAGAGCATTTAATCGATCAGTAAAAAACATTAGCATAAATACCATAACAGAGAAGTGGGAGATTGAAGATGAGCTTAGGAATGTACAAACTAAGTGGAATGTTATTGACAGTTTACAGCTTCAAATAGATCATATATTACAAGGCGGAGATATATCATATGAGGAAGAGTTTAGCGAATACGAGCAATCATATAAAAAGATTAAACGCGAGTTAAATATGAAATTAGCGTCCATAACCCATATCCATTTATCAACACCTCAAATAGAGATTCCATCATTTACTGGAAATTATACCCAATGGCCCACATTCTTAGATTTATTCACTGAAACCATTCACAATAATAAATCCATTACTAAGGCTCAGAAGATGCAACACCTTAAAGGAAAACTTAAAGGTGAAGCTGAACGATTAATACAACACCTGCATGTATCCTCTGAAAATTATGATACAGCATGGGAAATTTTAACAAATAGGTATAACAACCCTCAAATTCTTTTTACCAAACAGATAGAGATATTTTTAAATCAGCCAGTAATCCCAAAACAAACTTCATTTAATTTAAAAAGATTGTATGACACATCCACCGAATGTATTCATGTCATTCACAATTTAGGGATCAACACTAATACGTGGATCCATTACTTGTTCATCTTCTCTGTAAAAAGTTAGATAGCCAAACCTACAGCGATTATAAAGAAGCACGTGACTCTCCTAGAGAGTTGCCATCATTAAATGAATTCATGTCCTTCATCGAATCCAAATTCATAGCTCTGGAACCTATTCAGGTTGTAGAGAATAGCGTTGTGAAACCACAATCGCAACATAATATCATTTCATCATACCAACCTAGAAATACTTTAAATAAACCTAATTATCATAAATCTAATAATCATAATCATCGAAACTTCTCATATAACAATTATCATACTATTACAACACATAACAATTATAGGTGCCCATTGTGCAATTATCATCATCACATATACATGTGTCACAAATTCCTTAACATGACACCCGACATTCGATTGAACACACTTACGAAATTAGGTTACTGTCATAATTGTCTTTATAATCATTACGATAAAATTTGCATTTCCACAAAACGGTGTAAATTATGTACAGAAAATCATAATACACTAATTCATGACGCATGTATTGCAAAATTACCTTCGCCGCCGACTATTGCCACGCCAACAAATTCGCAGACTAAGCATAAGGTCAATCACGTGGCGAGTAATAATGAAGAAATTTTATTGACTACTGTTTTATTAAATGTAGTATCCGCGGATGGTAGTTATATCAAATTACGAGCTCGTTTGGACCAAGGGTCTCAAATCTCATTGATATCTGAGAACGCAGCTCAAATATTAGGATTAAAAAGGAATCATTATCATGCATCAATTTCAGGAATAGGCCCCGGATCTAAACAGAGTAGGGGTATTGTATCATTAAATTGCCAGTCTATTTATGGCGATTATAAATTTGAAACTCAAGCATTAATTATATCAAAGGTGGTAAACAATTTACCTTCTGTATCTTTTAACAGCCAATCATGGCCACACTTACAACAATTAAATCTAGCAGATCCCGAGTACAACGTGTCTAGACCAATTGACCTTTTGTTGGACGCTAGTGTCTATTCACAAATTATCATGGAGGGTCTTATCAAGGGTCCAGCACAGGCACCCATAGGACAGCAAACCAAACTAGGTTGGATATTGTCCGGTAATACCAAAACATTCAAGTGTCATGTAGTTATACATGACCTATCAGATTTATCAAAATATTGGGAGATAGAAGGAATTAATCAATCCACATCTGATCTCACTGAAGCTGAGCAGTATTGTGAGGATTTATATCAAAATACAACTATAAGATTGAGTAGCGGTACATATGAAGTAGCGTTACCTATGATACCTAACTACCAAAATCAACTAGGGTTGTCCAAACCCAAGGCCATAGCACAGTTCAAGCAGTTAGAAAACAAACTGTCTAAAAATCAAACTTTGGCAGAAAATTATAAACATTTTATTTGTGAATATGAGCAGCTTAATCACATGACTTTGGTCGAAAATATAAATAATTATGAAAATGCTTATTATATGCCGCATCACGGGATAGAAAAACCCGATTCAACAACTACTCAGTTGAGAGTAGTATTCAACGCATCATCAAAAACTTCATCCGGTAGTAGCCTCAATGACCTCATGTACAGTGGTCCTAATTTACAGCGAGATCTGTTCACACTTATTTTAAACTGGAGGACTTACAAGTACGTCCTTACTGCGGACATTGAAAAAATGTTCCGCCAGATACGCATTCGACAGTGTGACCAGCACTTACAATCCATCATATGGCGTGACTCACCCCACCAACTACTTCGTGAGTATCATCTTACTACTGTCACGTACGGCACAAAGGCAGCTCCGTATTTGGCTATGAGAACCCTTAAACAACTTGCTAGGGATGAAAGCAGTACATATCCCTTGGCAGCGCCAGTAGTAGAGAACTCTCTATTTATGGACGACTTACTCAGTGGAGGAAACACCTTATCAGAAGCTAGAGAGTTACAGAAACAGCTTATCAGTATGCTACGCAGTGGGGGGATGAATCTACGCAAATGGTCTAGTAATGCTCCAGAGTTATTGCAAGATTTAAATCCAGATCAAATAAATAGTCCATATGAATTTAGATGTACTGAATCCAGAAAAACACTAGGACTGAAGTGGCATCCATCATCTGACTCATTCACTTTCAATCATCACCTAGACTATCATACTTTACACTCTATCACAAAAAGACAGTTATTATCCGACATATCGAAGTTATTTGATCCACTCGGCTGGTTGTCACCACTTACAATTAGAGCAAAACTTATTTTTCAAAAAGCATGGTCATCCGGTATAACAGAGTGGGATCAAGTATTACCAACAAATTTACAAAATGAATGGTTACAGTTAAAAGGTGAATTACAAAATATCAATAAAATTATCATACCACGATATTTCGGTAATACATACAACTTATATCAATTACATGCATTTTGTGACGCGTCAGACAAGGCGTTTGCTTGTGTCATATATGCGCGCTGTATCAACGATAAGGGCGACGTCACACTAACACTCATCGCCGCCAAAACGAAACTAGTACCATTAAACAAAAAGGTATCATTGCCACGTTTGGAATTATGTGGCGCTTTACTCTTGAGTCAGTTATTACAAAAGGTACTAGAATCAGTACCAAATGAAAATATCACAATTCAGGCATGGACTGACTCCATGGTTGTGTTAGGTTGGCTACACGGAGATATATCAAAATGGAAGCCTTTCGTAGCCAACAGAGTTAAGCAAATTCTTGAGGTGATCCCATCATCACGCTGGCATCATGTACGTTCAGAAGATAATTCAGCTGATTGCGCAACAAGAGGTTTATCATTTGATCGTTTATCAAACCATGTTCTGTGGTGGGAAGGGCCAGAATGGCTACGTAATTTTAATCATGAACATATAACCAATAATATTTATCAACCTACCACTATCGAAAAAAAAAATATTAATGTGCATGCAGCTTTACATAATATAATTAAAGACAATTCACTTATTATAGACTTATTAAATAGGTACAGCTCCTTAACACGAATTGTAAATATCGTCGGCTGGATCTCATGTTTCATTTCGCGAACACGCGAAAAACAATCTCATACATCATATTACAAATCATTATCATCATTAGAAATAAATAAATCATATAATTTAATTGTAAAGGAAGTACAAAAACATGACTTTGAAAATGACATACGTCATATTAAGCAGACAGGGCGGGTACACGCCAGTAGTAAAATATCTAGTTTAAATCCTTATCTAGACGAATACGGGCTTCTAAAAGTAGGAGGTCGACTACAAAATTCAGCAATACGCGACTCTGCAAAACATCCTATCA